CCAACATACCGTCTGATCATAAGAATCGATTCCTTCACTGTCGAGTAAGAGAAGATTATACTCCGTTCCATCCGGAGCAAACCTCTTGATCGGAGCGCTCCACATCCAGAGTCCTTTGGTGCATGGTCGGTGAGTCGGACCCACTTGAAATCCGCTACTCCGGCCTAGCAGCTATGCGCTGGACGTATTAAAAACAAGCACGATGGCAAAAGGAAAAGAAAAACACTAGACAGAGTTACACAAGCAAAAGTACCTGGTTTAAGATGAAGCTCTTCCCCTGCCGGGCTCGCCCACACACCGACACCACGCCAATCGGCCCCTTGACCAGCTGCAATGCCGCCACGGCCTCAGCATCCATCCGAAATCTCCCCTTGTCATCGCAATAGACGAGCCGGATCGCCTTTGCCGGACCTGTGCCATTGGAAGCATTGGACGCTGGAGCCGCGGGCGGCGCTGCCGCGGCGGTGGCCGGATCGAGCTCCACAATCCTCTTGGGTGTCCCTGGTGGAGCGCCGCCGCCGAAACCCAGCCTGCTAAACATCTCTAGCCCTGCAAACCTTTCTAGGTCAGCTCAGCTGCCGGGATGCCCAGTCGCATTCTTTCTTGCCGGAAGCTTGTACCCGCGCGCCTTTGCTGCCCTAGAAACCACACCAATGGAAAGTTTAAACGGATAAAAACGTTTAGGGTGAGAATTTATAAATTTAAGACTCATCTAAATTGTATTTGTAAAGTTTGTAAATACATGTATGTATATACATGTATTATACTGGTTATTAATAGCATATAAACTGTCCATCTGAGACTGAATCCATTCTTGTAAGCAAGGAATTAATATCCTGAACACTTACATTAGTGGAATATAGGCAAAATAATTTATCCCTAAAGGGCAAAACTTTTTGGTAGTGTTTTGCTCTAGCATTTGGGAGTATATTTTTTATTTTTATTTTTTTATTCTCTTTTAGATTTAGATTTATATTAGTTTTTTGCAAGATTTAGATTTTAGCTATCATTGTGTTTAGATTTATTCTTATTTCTAATTTCATTGCATTCTTTTCTTATACCATGCTATGCCATCATCGATTAAGGAATATATCACTTGAGGCTATTAATGCTATTCCATTAGATTGAACTTTTGGTGCTGTAGGGTGTAATTATATTAGTGTTGCATTTATCTTTGGTGTGTTGCTATCTCCAACTTCAGTGGAAAGTGATTATATAATTTATTCTATTCTCAGTGTTCTACTATCTCCCATTGATGTGAAACATGATTATGATATTGATTAACAAATTATGGATGTTGCAGTTTAGTTCTTGGAGAATATTTGAGGATCAAGTTTTTAGGAAAACAATGTTTACGAGCTCAAATGGCTTTTAGACTATGATGAGGAACTTAATAATTACAGAGATAGATTTGGAAATGAGTTGGAGATTTTGCAGAGTAAGTGTCAATGCTTTAATCTATTATTTGATCTTTTTTCTATACCTTTTACTCATTTCTAACCTTTTTTATTTCTCAGCTTGAGCTATTTTCTCATGTTTTTAGTGTTTCTTCTTTATCTATAGTGTTTTCTTTTCCTAACACGTTAAATATTTATGACTTTTATGATTCTCATTCTTAATTAAGTGTTTAATTAAGTGTTTTCTATCCTCCTTATACTAATTTAAATGTTAAATATATGTATGAAGTTGAGAATCTTACTTTTTTTTTTTTTGTTAACAGAGTCTTTGATCAATTCTAGTGTTGAGTATTCCTATGTTCCAAAAGTTGAATCACTTTGCCTAGAGTTTCAAGTTGAATGCATATCCTCACTTCTAAAAGCTTTTATTTTACCTTTGTTACTAAGGAGTTTATGCATTTCCTTGAGAGTGAATGTTATTATTGATTTTCCCATCTTAATGTTGAATTATATGTTGAGGAAGTTAAACAGTATGAATTTTTTGTTTATATTGTGGTGATTGAAGTATTTTATGATAGGAAATCCTCTATTTTCCAAGTTTTGAACACATAATTTTTTTTTATTTCCCCATTTCTACATTATTAACTACTCTAAATTCCTCTTTTAATACTTCTTTATCCACTTTTTCTTCTTCAACAATTGATTTTTCTCAATTTTTCTCATTTTCTCATTTTTGCTCTGACATTTCAAACTTTTTTTTTCCTTAGAGGAGGGGGTTGAGTGGACAAATGGGAGTTTGGCTATAATGATGGAGTAAAGATGAGCAAATACAGTAATGGAATGAAGATAAATAACATGGATTATGGAATGAGGATGAACATAACAAGTCCAAATAGAACATTTAACGCCAACATAGTAAGGCTAAATGAATGCAATAGTGAAATGATGCCAAAGTGAGAACAAGCATAAAGAGTCTGAACAAAGTTAGTGCTTCAAAACTTTTTATTCTTCGAGAAGAGGATAAAAAAGAGTGAAAGACAAATGAAGTGAGTCCAATCTCTCATATGCTATGCTAAATAAAGACGAAGAAGTAAGCTTTATTTATGGTTATGAGTCTAAATTAACAGTGGTTTCAAAATATTATCGGCAGGCAAATTTAAACATGGAATGTATCGTTTTATGGACCACATTGATTCTCAAAGTTCCTTGCTTTGGTTCAAAATTATGATTTCGAAGTTAGTTTAAGCATTTAGCAACTACACATAAAGTTGCAATTAATTTATTTGAATTCTATAGTCAATTAATGTTTATGCCATGGCATTGGGTTTTGTTTCAATCATGGTTTTTATCAACTTTATTGGTAGTTTTATAGGAGCTTTAGATTTTTGTAGTAGTTTATAATTGCCTAGTAGAAGCTCTAGATGTTTCACTTGACTTATTGCCATCACCTTTTTCATCTTTCGGAAAGGAAGATAGTGTAAAGTTTGTAAATATATATATATATCTGTGTGTGTGTGTCTGTGTGTCTGTGTGTATTACCCTAGCTAGGTAATACATTAATTATAGTACTATAGTATATGGACCGTTTATTTGAGATTGAATTTAATCCATTCATTCTTATATATAAGTAAGGGTCTAAACCACAAAATATACCTATTTTTATATTTTGATAATTCACATATCTTAATAAATAACAAATTAGTGTTGCTAAAAGAAAAATCATACTTTGTACAAGAAAGATGTTTAGAATTTATAGATTTAAAATGATCTCTAATTATATTTATACATTTCTACAGTATATGAATAATAAAATATAATATTGAATTTATTTATGCTATTTATTCTCTTATATGTACAAATGTCACAAATTAATAGAAACACTATTTCTAAGTATTTATTAAAATACAAAATAGCTTTATACATTTGTAGTTTTTCTTCTCAATATTGAGTATGAATTTATTTATGTTTCTAATTTTATTATGCATAAAAACTAACAAAATTTTAAGCACTTATCAATATTATGGCCAAAATGCTATGGAAATTGAAAGTGTTGATTTAGTTTTATATGCAATGCAGTTAATGATTAATAATATATCTTATGAACCCTTACCTAAAGGTCAAGGTATGCGATTTGAATATCATATACAAGATAATACTCATGGTTCACTATCTATTGCAAATCAATTATGGGTTTATGATAGTAAAGGAAAAAAATATGATGCATGTGCTGCAAACCCAAGTGATTATGAACATGATCATGGAAAAAATGTTCAAAAACAGTTAAATTATATATTAGATTTATATCGTTATGATATAAAAAGATTACGTGCAAGTTATTTTCGAGTTGTTATTGGTTTTTACTGTGTTGAATATCTTGTGAAGAACTTTAAACAAGATTTATTCTCTCAAGATGTCTATAAAATGAATAATGTGATTGATTGTGATATAAAAATAACCACATTAATTAGTAATATGCCAGCTAACTCTCTTAAACCATCCCAATTTTTAATGTCACCAAATAAAAAAGCTTTATTATACTTACATTTAAACTGTATTTTATCATTATATATACATAATGATTTAAAATGGTACAAAGGATTTCAGAGTTATCAAAATTGTTTATTTATTATAAAAGAAGATGGGCATATAGTATTATATTCTGAAAATAAAAATATAATTTGGTCCCCGAAAATTAATTTTGATAGATCACATAATTATTTTATAAGATTTATTTCACTTCAGGATGATTGTAATTTAGTTCTTTATGAATCTCACCAGAAAGTTTTTTCAAAACATCCAATAGTTGAACCAAAATGGGCTTCACAAACATATTGCTAATATATACTACTTTATATTATTACAGATATATATTAAAATAATAAATTAACAATAATGTCTATTATATTCTAACTATATCTACTGAATTCATGCCATAACTCAGGTTATGGCATGCTAGTTACCACCTCTTGGCATGAAGGAATGATATGCTAGGCCATGGGCTATGGAAATGTGTTGGTAAACTAGGCTTTAATAATTAAATAATAAGAATAATAAATCACTTAGTTTTGTCCGGTAAAGTGTTGACCTAATTTTGTGTTAATCCCCAGGTAGGCTGTTTCGAAAAAGCCAGCTGATCAGCTGATCAACCTAGCTATGATCGTCTAGCTGCAGTGGATCTTGCAGTTCTGTATGTGTTCCACCCAAAAGCCCAGGCCTAGAAGAACCTGGCTTAAGAAGCATATACTCTGCCAGCTTTCTCATCTCATGCTGAAGCAATCAAGAATTAGTCCATCAGCACCTCTGCTACCACCATCTCGGCTTCCACAATGAACTGTAAGGGACGAGCAACCAAAACCAATATACCACACTAGTGATAGAACATGATCATCGTCCCCTCTACCAATCTGGATGTCAGTCTGCAAACGATGTGTCCCTGGTAAGCGGGGTTGTCGGGCATATAAAGTCCAGCGGATCGAACTGCGCTCTCTTTTTTACACCAAGTCCAATCTTTGTGGCATAGTTAGCTCGTGCAGGGATGCGATACATGACCTTGCTTGCGATAACCCTAATAGTAAAGATTGATTAGTTCGTGCGTGTAGCAGACTTGTTCTTCACTTGTTTTTGTTTGCGTCATCAAGTTGAACTTGTTATAATCTCCTTTCCTCTCTCTTTCTCTCCCCTCACAGGATCTTAAGATCGATCGAATTTCTCTCCTAGGTGTCCCCTTTCTCTTTTGCTTTCCTCTCTTTCTTCGTTGAAAGTCGCTATCTTTGATCGTTTGGCTCACAGCTCGATCCTTCTATTCCTAAAGTCTCTTATAGAGTGATGTGTCTTTGAAAGGATCCAACGAACCGCCCATTCACTCCAGGCATTGTTCCTCCACAATTCTCCGGAATTCTTTCATTGTGATCAGGAAGAGAAGGAACAGAAATCGATGGATCATCGGCCGGTGCTCGCGCGCGTGTTGATGGTGGCGATGGTGACCATCGCAGCGGCGCCGCCTCTGATCCACGCGCAGGATCGGCTCTCGAGCGATTTCTACTCCGCCAGCTGCCCCAACGTCGAATCCATCGTCACCACCACCATGAACAGGCTCTCGTCGGAAAACAACGTCGTCCCCATCGGGATGCTCCGCCTCTTCGCGCACGATTGCTTCGTGGAGGTGACTCCCGATCGATCAATACAAATTCGAATTTTTCTTTGATCGAGCTCTCTTCTTTTGCGCAGGGATGCGACGCCTCGATCCTTCTCACAGGCGCGTCAACGGAGAGAGCTGCGACGGACAACCTGGATTTCCCCCAGAATCCCTTCGACGCCATGGACGAGCTCAAGAAAACAGTGGAGGAATCGTGCCCGGGAGTCGTCTCGTGTGCCGACATCCTCGCGATGGCCACCCGCGACGCGGTCACCTTTGTAAGTTCTATCTCCACCCAATCCATATCCTTGCGACGAGTTCTTCCACTCCTTTCTCTCCTATCTTCTCTCGGATCACCCCACACACATATGGATCACAAAAGCACACACGGATCGACTGCCATGCATCCTCTGTCTGTGCTGTCGGTTGCTCCCGGATTTGGCGAGTTCGTTGCGTTGTTCGACTGGCACTCACCCGGACTGACGCTCGCAAAACTTGTTCTTTTGTTTCTTTCTTCAGAGTGGCGGACCAAGCTGGACAGTCCTCAAAGGACGGCTCGACGGGACCATCTCACGCGAATCCCGCGTCGCCGGGCACTTGCCCGGCGCCGACTTCGACGTGGAGGAGCTCGAGTCCAATTTCGGCGCCCTGGGACTCTCTCTCGAGGACATGGTCGTCCTCTCAGGTACTTAAATAGAAACAAGCCTTCCCCCCTGTTTGCTCTCGATCCAATCCTCTCGTGGGCGATCGCAATTTCGCGAGAATTTTGCTCCTGCTGGAACCCAATACGATTCTCTAGCAGCCCACATTCGCGATTTCTCGCCATCGCGCGGCCGAGACATATGCCCGAGCAGGGCATTCCCTGTTTTCTTCGTTGCAAATTCCCGCTGTTCTGGCATTGATCGTTTCTTTCTCGCGATCAGGGGCACACACGATTGGATTCTCTCACTGCCACCAATTCACCAGTCGCCTCTACGGCTCCTCCGGCAGCGATCCCTCGCTCAGCCCCAGCTTCGTCAGCACCCTCCAGAAGCAATGCCCGCAATTCGGCGGCAATCCCACCACCGTCCAGGCGTTTGATATCAGCACCCCCTTCGCCTTCGACAACTTGTACTACAAGCACCTCCTCACGGACGAGGGCCTCTTGGTCTCCGACTCGACGCTCACCACCAGGAACGACACGCTCCGCCTCGTCAATCTCTTTGCCAACAGCCAGGAAGCGTTCTTCTCTGCGTTTGCGCGGTCGATGGTCCGGCTGGGATCCGTGGGTGTCAAGACGAGGTCGGGTGGCGAGATCAGGAGAGTTTGCTCCAGAGTCAACTGATTCCTCAGCACCAGCACCTCCATAGCTGTAAAGTCCAAATGGTTTTGTTTTCCTTCTTTTTTTTCTTCTTTTTTTTTCGATAAGCGGAACTAAGAGTTCCACCTGTATCAAAATGGTCAGAATAAACACGCAACAAGGGAGAAATAACTCACTTTGCAAGCTACTTGTTCTTCGCTTGTCTCTTCTCTGGGTTGTTCCCTTGAGTTGTTCTTCCTCGGCATAGCTAATGCTTTCGCCACACGAGTATTGGACTTCTCACGATGTGTTTCCCGTCCCTCCACTCCCACGACCCCTCCAAGAACTTGTCTCTCGGAATCCGTGTCGCAAACAGCTCCACTCTGAAACTTTTTCGTTGCCCCGTCGAAGAAAAGCGGAGCGTTCTCGGCGTCACTGTCACACGGACGCGACCACCGGGGTGCTTGACGGCAGCGTGGTACGTTGCGTTTGGGGATCCCACGTTCGTCACTCTACGCGTGATCGAGACGTTCAAGTGGCCGAGCTCGAGGTCACCCAGCGCGATGGACGGATAGTTTAACGAGTTGACGGGAGCTTGGCTCTTGGAGCAGCGAAACTTTGTCATTGCCAGCATCACATGGATTTGCGTGGCATTGTAGTTGATGTTGCAGAGGAAGTTGGCATAGTCTCTGGCACTGATGTCATAGATGAGTCCGGGATCTGTCGCTGCCACCGGATTTATCTGCCCAGATCCATACGCGAGAGCTCCATGCCTGTTGAATTTATGCTTTTGATCGAGGACTGTCGCTGTGCGTTTGAGGAAAAACGAGAGTTAGAAAGCGAAAGTGGCTGAGATAGTGAAGCTTCTACTGGACCTGTTGTCATGAGAGCGGACTTGAGTGCTGCAGGAGACCATTCCGGATGAAATGATTTCACCAGAGATACGGCACCTGAGACATGAGGACACGCCATTGAAGTTCCAGAGATGATGTTAAAATTGGCCACGCGTTTGTCTTCCTTCACACCTGCGACTGGACCCCGCGGTGACCATGCGGCAAGTATATCCACACCTGGTGCTACGATATCTGGCTGCTAGGAGGTCCAAAACACTGGAACAACGAAAACTTGGAGAAAAGAAGAAAAATTCCTACCTTGAGGATGTCTGGAGTTATCAAATTGGGACCACGCGATGAAAAAAGAGCTACAGTAGCTTTGATTTCTTCTCCCGTTCGCACGATCGTGGGAAGAAACCGAGCAATAGGATTCCTACAAGTAGTTGTCAGTACTTTCGCTATTATGAAGGAAAAAATGCCAGACCGTGTTGAATTAGTATAAGCAAGCACTTGCTTTCCATCTCCTTTGTTCACCACGGTAGCAGGCACAGAAAATGAAAAGGCCTCCTTAGTATCGACTTCTTCCGCAAGAACGTAGATCAAACCACCCCCACCAGCCAAAAGAACCGATTCATCGGGGCGATAGTCGTCACCATAGCACACGACGATCTTATCTTTGATTTTAGCCGAATGCAACGTACCCTTGCCACAGAATCTGCGAAAGGCTTGTAGGCGCTGTTGAAAAAGAGAGAAAACTTTGAAAACTTACTTTGACTTTGGTCCGTCTCCAACGCTCCCGGCAAAGACCAAGGAATGCCAGCTATCACGAGTTGCAAAACCATTTATAGACGTACCCTGCATGTGAGATTTCGTTCGATGACACACCGAATAGATAAAACGAAACATACATACCTTGTAGGAGGAGCCATTTCCAAGTAATATTTGGGTCGTGAACTTCCTGTCTATGGTGCTGGCAGCAACAGTAAAGAGCCATGGAGCGATGTTCTTCGCTGCATGCAAGCTTGGCCCTTCGTTCCCGGCCGAGACAACAGTAAGAACGCCCTTTTGCATCGCATGAAATCCACCGATTGCTACCGCATCTTTAAAATAGTCCATTGGCTCCTGTCCCAGTGAGATAGACAGCACGTCGACACCATCCGAGAGAGCATCATCGAATGCAGCGAGCACATCTGCATCCGAGCACTCCATTCCCCAGCACACTTTGTAAATAGCCAGCCTTGCTCCTGGAGCTCCGCCTCGTGCAACTCCTTTAGCAAGGCCAAAGAAGTTCGCACCTTCAACCGGGCTCCCAGCAGCTATCGAAGCAGTATGAGTTCCGTGGCCGTGGGTGTCCCTCGGAGTTTTTTTGCCTGCCAAAGGACCGTACTCTTTCTCATATCCCTTGGAATAGAAACGAGCTCCGATAAGTTTCCTATATACCAGCAGAGAAAAGTCTAGACATGTTGGCGGTGTTTGATGATTTTACCTGTTGCAGCGGATTGAGGCAGCGCAATCGCCCTTCCAACGTGAAGGAACTGGACCAAACGAATGATCATTAAAGCTTTCAGACTCCGGCCATACTCCTGAAAAATGAAGCGTGAGAAATAAGGCATTATTAACCGTCAGTTCCAAGTACCTGTGTCAAAGACTCCAATGACAACATCGCCACCTGAACTGGAGCCATTGTTTTGTGTAGTTACTCCCAGAAACTCCCACGACCTTGTTGTATGTAGATGCCTCATCCTGCTTGGAAAAACTGACAAAACTCCAGATAATCCTAAAACGTCACACGAAGTATGTGAGCCTCATGACAGTTCTAAAGAAAAAATCATCGAACTTGACAAGGTAGCCGCGTCTCTCGCAGTTAAAGTCGCAGCGAAACCCGAAAAATTCTCTGAGTAGCTATAAACCATCGCATTTGTTGCTTCCTCACTGGCTATTGTCATGTAAGCTCACAAGGAGAAAATTTACTTCCATACCTTCCCATTAAACTTGAAAGAAGAACATGATGGTAGACATTGAGCGGCTTCAGATCTTCTGATACAGATTGCTTCGCACCAAGGTAAACTATGTACAGCTGAGGGCAAAAAGAAAGTTCCAGTGCTGAATCCCACAGCATTGAAGTATTACCTTTTTATCTGGCAAAGCTGAACTCAGAGACCAGAGCCAGAGCAGAGCTGCAATGAATATCAGTAAGGAGCTCATAGAGGCCTGCTTCGTGAGAATTGGCGAAGACGAAGGCAGACGGAGCAGAAGGAGAACTCTTGGCAGCAGTCAAAGAAGCACATCTACGAGAAAAAGCTCATTTTATACCACGCCTTACATCCTCATACCCCACGTATTTTGTGTACAGATTCCTGGCACTCCATTGGTACCCGCTGCTGATTACAGCAGAACAAAGGTTTTAGTAATCGTCACAGCGCGACTTTTCAATAAAGACAGCAGCCAGTTTCATCATAATACATATCCACTGCACATCCCCAGCGAAAACACAACAACCAAAGTCCATGCAAGCTCACAGGCCAGTCAAAGCAAGATCTTAAACAAGCTTCTACTTGGCATCAAAACGCACCTGTACAGACATACGGCATGTAGTCGAAGCATTATTGCGCTTTCGCAGTATGGGGAAAAAGGCTTGTAGTTGGCTTGGTCTCAAAAAGAGAAACAGGAAACGAGTGAGAAAGAACTCCGTCTGTACTCTTTCTCTCTCGATCTGCAGCTTGTTTACCTCCAGATCACGCACACAAGCAAACAGATAATGCAATGCAAGGGAAGAGCACGAGCAGGACAGGCAGAACGAAAGTAACGGGAGCTGATTACAATGCAAGCTCTGCGCACCAAGAAGGACACCAGTGCTTAAGCCCAGCCCACATGAAACTTGAGGTAACTCACGCAGTGTACAAACAAAACTCGCCAGGAGGGGACGACGATGACACTAAGACTAGAGTATCCTGCGAGACTAGCGCTTTCAATCACTCTTCTTAGGCTCGAGAGTTTGGGATCCAGCTGTAGCTTACGAACTAGATATTAAATGGACTCACCAGGAAAAAAAAAAGTACCTCTGGATCGAGAATGAAGCGAGACGATTGCATGGATCAGGTTCCATGGGAAAAGCTGAATTCTCCATCAGGCAAGCAGTGTGAGCGACGAGGATGGTGTCAGGGAGCGGCTTTAGCCGTAGCCAAAAAAAACAAATTCACCGAGAGGAAGGACGGCCCTGGTCAATCAAAGAAAATCATGCGAAAGAATAAAGAGCTATAATTTAGTCACCTTGGTGAGAGGCAGTGGTGTGCAGAGGTGATTTCCTTTTTCCATCTTCGAGCACTCGTGAATGGCAAGAGTGGCCCAGCCTTGAACAGCTCCTCTAGCCCAGGAGAGCAGAGCCTTTGTTCATCCCGAGAAACTTTAGCTCTTGCAGCAGTGCTGCACAGGAATAAAGCAGAGTAAAAACTGGAAATCCACACTGGGAAGACAAAGGCACTCACTACTCAATTCACTGAGAAAATGGATCGCCTCTCTTCTCCGCGAATCTTATCGTACCTGGAAAAGAACGCGAAAAAGGGAGAAGGAAGGAAATGTAGGTACTTGCATCGATCGATTAAGCGCCACATCGCTCGCGCAAAGCCTCCTCCGGTACTAAACCCTAAAATATCGCTTGCTCTGTTTTTTTAGGGTTCTTGGAAGTCAAAGTAACTTTAAACTTTTTGGAGTGGAAGAATTGGGCGAGGGCGGGCGCGGGATCGTCCTTTGCTTTTGCAAACCTGGAGAATCCTAGGTGTGACCACGAACACTGTGTGCAACGGTATGCTAGTTCCTCTAGAATATAGTCCTTGATCAAGCGATGGGACATTCTGATCGATCAAATGGAAGAAGAAGGTGTCAATGCGAGCCATGATTGTGGGAAATTGCGCTGCTAATCCAGCGCCGCGCTGTGCTTTGGTGCGTTGTTCTTCCCCTTCTTGGCTGGCGAATCATCGATTGAGCGACATGGATCGAGCAGAGTGGTGGGTTTTCGAGTTTTTGGCCTTTATCTCCCGCGCACAGTGTGTGTGTGTCAGATTAGTTTAGAAAGAAGATAGCGCGTGTTTGTTTGGTTGTGTTCTTGAGCCCAAAGCAAGAGTTTCTCTAGCTATGGCCGAGAGATATTCGCTTCTTTCTCCAAGGATCTCCTATGGCCGCGGGGTTTGGGCTCCCGCGCCGCTGGAAGCCGCGCATACATTCCACTCCAATCCCGCCAAATTGGATCCGGAAGACGATGCCTACTACAAGAAATTCATGTTCCGCAAGACGATGGTGGTGGTGGCGTGCCTCCTCGCGGCGGTGGTGGTGGTGGCGCACTGGAGCACGGCTGTGAGGTTCCTCCTCTTCCTGCTACGCAGATCCAGGAGATCCAGATCGTCAGCGAGGCGGGGAAGTGGCGGAGGGCAGGCGGCGGGGGAGGAGGAGGAGGAGCGCAATGAGGATCATGGAATGGTGGTGCTAGGGACATTCAAAGCGCAGCAAGAGGACGCGGATTCGCGAGCGCTCCGCCCGATCCAGATGGTCCAATTCGGCAACATGGGCAGCAGCCGCGGCGGGAGTAGCGGCGAGTGTATGATTTGCTTGAGCGAATTCCACAGCAGCGAGAAGATTGGGATGCTCCCGGATTGCGGCCATGGATTCCACCGCCCCTGCATTGAAATGTGGCTCTTCACGCACTCCAATTGCCCGATCTGCCGCCATAGCCTCGTGGAAGAGCAAGCCTGAGAGAGAGAGAGAGAGATCACTCTTTGGGGAAACCAAAATCCCACGATTGCATCGAATTGATGGGCTCTTGGGCAGCTCCAATTTCTCGGTTTTCTCTTGGATCGATCGAGCGACCGAAATGTCGTAACTAGAATCTGGCCGGATCTGGTTTGTTTTTCCTGGCAGTGTGTCCAAGGGAATAAATGTATTGGAAAAAAAAAGAGGGGGATGGTTTAGGGTTTAAGGGGCCTGGATTTTAGGGTTTTTAGAGAGCGCGATGGCAGGAGGAGGGAAGCGCAAATTGGAGCGCGCTGACGATGACGATGAGGAAGATTTCCCACGAGGTATGCCGGCTAGGGATTAGAATGTTCTTTCTCCTCGATTAAACACTTCTATGCGCAGGAGGTAAGCAGGCATTGTCTGCCGCCGAGATCCAAGAGGCTAGAGCCGAGGCGGAGGCGGAGTTTAATCGAGAAAATGAGAATTTGGGGAAGAAAACGAAGAAGAAGAAGAGGAAGGTGGAGGAGGATCCCGAGGAAGAAACTCTTTTGCTCTCTGGGAACGCTCGAAAATCAGTCGAGCTTTTGAAATTCAGGGTGAGAATCCATTTCTTCTTCTTTCTTCTAGCTAACTTCTCTTCTTCGTCAGAAATTATGTTCTGGAATGCGACTCTGGGGCGCTGTTTCTGGCATCAATAAGACTGATCTTTCCATCAGCCTTCCAAATGGATTGCATGGATTTGTTAAAGTAGATGAGGCATTTCCCGAGTATACTCCAGATTTGAGCGACGATAAGGTATCTATTTTACACTCCCTTTTGATAGAGCTTGACATTTCTGTGCCAGGGAAAATGCCACCTTTTGTTGGAGGAATTATTCCATGTTGGACAGTACGTTTCCTGTACTCTCTTGAACCTGGAGGAGACGAAGGGTGATGGCCAGAAGAAGCAGCCCAGGAGAGCGGTTCTCTCGCTGCTTCCTCGACATTTTAATGAAGGAATGACGATGGACACGATCTACGTTGGACAGGTACGTAACTATCTGGATAGCAAACTCTCACACAATTTCTCTTATTTGCAGCTGATGATTTCTTCAGTGAAGAGTATCGAAGACCATGGGTATGTCTTGTCCTTCGGCTTGCCTGAGATGTCAGGTTTCCTGCTCCACAAAGATCATCAAGGTGAGAAGAAAACATTATAACTCTACTGAAAAGCTTTCGTTTTAGGTGAGAAATTGCGTGTTGGTGAAATAATGCAAAGCTGTGTCTCTGCAATCGACAAGAAGCGTGGTGTAATCAACCTCACGACGATGCAACTATCGTCTGCTGTAAGTTTTTTCTTATGTCGGCTGTTGAGAACTTTTGTCATCGCGAACAATGTTCAGATGAAAGAGCACGAGAACCTCTCGCTAGGAACTCTTGTTCCTGGCGCGTTGGTCAATGGATGCGTCCAAGCTGTTATGAGAAATGGAGTACTTCTTTCCTTCCTTACATATTTTACGGGAATTGTAAGGATATTCATTCTTTAGATTTTTGAACCTTTTGACGTTGGCTTTTCAGGTGGACATTTTTCATCTGCAGAGTGTTCTTTCGAGCAAGGACTGGGCACAAGATTATACTGAAGGAAAGCGGGTAAGATTATGCTATCACTAAAAGCTGAACTGGTTTTTTGTTTTGTCAGTTTAAGGCACGCATTATATTCATCGATGCCAGAACGAAACGCATTCGCTTGAGTTTGAGATCGCATTTAGTCGATGCCGAAATTGTCGTTCCAGTACGTTGCCTTGATGTTTAGATGATTAAGCAATAAACATGTTGGTAGTCTTTGAACAGGGGCGATGTTATTGAAGCTGCAAGAATCAAAAGGGTGGATCCAGCAATTGGTCTTCTTTTAGAGCTTCCTGCTACACCTCATGTGGCTGGTTATGTCAATGTGAGTAATTTTATTGGTCATGGGCGATGCTCAACGTTCGTCTTTTTTTTGTAGCACGCAGATGTTTCTGACGTGAACGTCGACAAACTAGAGAAGAAGTTCAAGGACGGCCAGCGAGTTAAAGCCCGAATAATTGGGTTCAGGCTAATGGATGGAATGGCAACTCTGACTCTTAAGGTAGCGTTGTTCTTATGTTCTGTTCCTAATAGAACGTTTTGATTTCAGGAATCCATGGTGAAGGGCGTCGTCAACAAGCTAGATTTAAAGCCTGGCGCGCTTGTTCATGGCGTAATAACGAGAGTGGAAGCATGCGGGGCCCTTGTATCTCTCGGTGGAGTGAAGGGACTCTGTCCAGTTCAGCATATGTCCGAGTATAATCGTTTAAAACCATCATCGAAGTTTGAGGTGAGCATCTTCTCAGTCTGAAAAAAAACAAAAAATTGTGGGTTTTCAGGTTGGAAAAAAAATGAAGTTCCGGGTACTTCAGTATGACCATGAAAAGAAAAAACTCTCTCTAACTTTCAAAAAGAGTTTGGTATGCTTCGTATTGCTTCTTTCAAATACACTTACTCAAACCTGAGATTGCAGGTGTCATCGAAGCTGCCGCTAATAACAGCATATGAGGATGCTGTCGACGGGCTTGTAACTCATGGATGGATCCAAGGAATCAGCAACATTGGATGCTTTATGGAGTTTTACAATCATGTGAAGGGTCTTGTACACAGGTAAACATGGGGATTGTTTCTCATTACAGTTTGATGACTTCTCCTTCAGGTCCGAGTTAGGAATTGGTCCTGACACACCAATTGAAGCTGCTTTTCACGTTGGGCAAGTTGTGAAGTGTAGAGTATTGGAGTCAGATTTAAGCAAAAGAAGACTTAGTTTGAGCTTTAACATGTCTTTAAGGTACAGTTGAACTTTCCTGGATGTTTGATATTCACCTTATTATTTACAGGCCAGGCGTCAAGCCTGGGAGCGTGGTTTCTGCTGTTATCACACAAATGGGCAGTTCGCAAATCGAGTTACAAGTTAACGACGATATAGCCTCAACGATGTCTTATGAGCATTTAAGTGATACTCCGGGTATGTTTTCTTGTGTTTTCCCTGTTGTGAAAACGTTATCAACTTTGGTATGGTCTTGCAGTTCATGCGGAACAGATGAGATCGCTGTTGAAGCCTGGGTTTAAATTTGATCGACTGCTTGTTCTCGGTAAGACGCTTACTATATTTTTGATATGGAGCGTCATGTCTTACGAACAGGTTGGGAGCACTCGAAGCTGGTTTTGACGGCAAAGTACTCTCTTATTGACGCTGCTGAATCACTTCCATCATCCATTCATCAGCTTTCTCCAATGGCAGTTTTACCGGTACAGTTATCCCAGTTTTTTTCTCTTCTTTCTGACTCAAAATGCTCAGGGCTATATTTCCGTCATACATGACAAATACTGCTTGGTTAGTTTTCTGGACGATGTCACAGGCCTTGTACCCATCGGTAACGTATGCTATCTTTTACTTTTGTATCGAGTTTACATTATTTTTCACAGGCGTCCGATGGCTACTTGGAAGATCTTTCTCAAGTTTTCTTTGTTGGTCAATCCGTACGAGCTCAAGTTTTGGAGGTACGATGTTCTTTCCTTTTTCCCAGCACAATGTTTCCAGTAATTTTGATCGTTTGGCAGGTCGATTCTGAAAATGAGAAATTTGTTTTGAGCTTGAAACAGTCTGCATGCTTCTCTACGGATGTTTCACTTATACAAGGGTACTTTCTAGAAGAGGAATTGGTATGTACATGTGATAATTCGTGATGCCCATACTTATACTTTTCGGATGCAGATAGCGAAGTTGAAGGAGAAAGAAGGTCTAGATTGGGGAAATAAATTGCAAATTGGAGAATTGGTCGAGGCTGATGTTCAAGAGGTCAAAGACTATGGCATCATTCTTAATCTTAAGGACAATGCAGACGTCGTTGGCTTCGCCACACACTATCAATGTGGGTAACTCATTTCTTTTGCTGTGATTGTCTTTCTAAAGCGTTTCTTTCACAGCTGATAGTCCGGTAGAGGTTGGTGCAGCGGTGAAAGCGTGTATCCTTGATGTCGTTAAAACAGACGGCATTGTCGACCTTTCTCTGCAGAAGAAAATGTTGAAATTCAAGGTATGATCAGTAAAACGTGATTATATGATGGTAATGCTGCCTGACACTAACAAACTCTCTCTACTCGTACCTGTTTCTCAACAGAAAACAAAGGCTGTTCTACAACTTCATCAGAGAGTAGAAGTTGTTGTGGAGCTCGTGAAGGACGAGTATCTGGTGTGTATGCTTTGTTTATCTTCTCTTGATGAGATTCTGTCCATGTGTATATTTCAGGTTTTATCACTGCCAAAATTTGGAAATTCTATTGGGTTTGCGTCGACTCGTGACTATAATATCAGAGTGCTGCGACCTCATGACCATTACAGCCCTGGACAAAAGTAAGAAGGTTTTTTTCTGTGGAAGTGACTAATTGGTAGTTATAGATTTTCGGCAACTATTTATTCTTTCGGATCCGAGTCTGTAGGTGAAAGAACGCTTCTGCTGCTTGCGGATACAAAACCAACCTTTTTCACCTACGTGAAGAATGATATTGGCGCAATCATCGAAGGCCAGGTTTGTTCAATTTATCTGGAAGCTTTATATTGATTCTTACCATTCTATATCAGATCCAAGAAATTTCGTCACTACATATGATCATTCAGGCCGGGATTAATTTACGTGGAAATGTACACATTACAGAGGTTTGTATTTGTGTGTTTCAGTCTGTCTTTAAATCCTCGATGGTCAGGTTGTCGATCATTATGAAGAAGGGAACCCGTTAAGAAAGTACAATGCTGGGCAGACTGTTCGAGCTAAAATCCTTTCAAAACGCAAAACCAGCAGAAAGCACGGAAATGCTCCTACTTTGGATCTATCTCTACGTCCATCTGAGCTTACAGGTTTGTCTGGCGGCGGCCCCTTGGATTGGCTTACTTTATCATGACCTGCAGGAAACGACTCTGCACGCTCAGTCATCACTTTCGAGACCGTAACCATTGGCCAGACGGTTGTCGGATACGTCCAGGAAGTGAAAGAAAATTGGGCATGGTTAGTCTTGTCACCCCATCTGAGGGGCCGCCTTTTTATCCTGGACTCTTCTGACGATCCCTCGGAGCTTGAGCGTTTCCAAGAGCGCTTCAAAGTCGGTGATGCCTTTCAGTGCCATATAAGAAGTGTTAACCACGAAAAGAAGCAAGTGGATTTGTCACTGCGCCCAAAAGACGAAGATTTCAAGAAGGGCGACCTGTTAGGCGGACGCATTACACGAGTTCGTCCTGGTGATGGCGGGCTTACGGTGCAAGTCGGCTGGGAAACTTTCGGGAGAGTTCACGTAACGCACCTGGGTGATACGTGGATGGATGACCCAGCCAGTCTATTCACAGAGGGAAAGTTCGTAAGGTGCAGGGTTTTGGATTTGAAGCCAACATTGAAGGGGACGAAGGCCTTGGAACTTTCATTGAGACCATCGCTCGGTGGATATGGTGGTTTTGAGTCGCTTCCGAGCTATCAAACGCTTGAAAGGTAACCCGAGCTTTACATTTATCGTACTGCAACACTGGCTCTGACTTTGTATTTCAGAAAGTCCAACGCTTGCATTGTCAATTCCGTGTCGGAGCTTCAGCAAGATATGCAAGTGCAAGTAAGCCGCGTATGCATGCAGCGTGGTTGTGACCCATTTTTGTGTCGCAGGGTTTTGTCAAGGATGTGACGGAGAAAGGCTGCTTTGTGATCCTGTCACCTTCAGTCGACGCTAGGATTCTTTTGAAGAACTTATCGAGCTCGTTTGTCCAGAACCCCGCAGAAATGTTTCCCGCAGGCAAGCTGGTATCGGGAAGGTAAGAGCTATTCTCTTTATGAAAGTGGTTGCTGATGTCTCTTTTTCAGAATTCTAAGCGTTCGGCCCTTGTCTGGGCACGTTGAAATGTCATTGACAACATCACAAGAATCAAGTAGCTGGAAGACTTTTTGCGCTGGTGATATCGTTAGTGGCCGCATACGCAGCATCGAAGCATTCGGGATGTTCGTCGCCCTTGCCGACAGCGATGTTGTAAGCTGCACAGTCGGTCTTTATCTTGCTGGCAAATTCTTAGTCTGAGTTTCAGGTTGGCTTGTGTCATGTCTCCGAAGTATCTGATGATTTTATTCAAGACTTGCCAACACTTTATAAAGTCGGCCAACGGGTACAAGTAAAAATCCTGAAGGTGAGCTAGAAGCTGTTAGTGAAACTACGGGTTTATGATATCTCTTTATCCAGGTTGACGCGGAAACCAAACGTATTTCCCTTGGAATGAAAGCGTCGTTTCTGACCCCTGACGATGGCCTCGAGACGATGGACGAAGAACCTGTAGCGGAAGAGCCTTCGACTGCGAACGTGCTTATGGAAACTGACGAAAAGGAGGAGGACTACTTGGATCTGGACACCGAGGCGACTCCTATGGCTACGGATGTCGATCCACTGGAAGTCAATCTCGAAGAAGACGTTGAGGACAAAGTGCCAGTAGAAGACGAGAAGCCTCCCACAGCGGAAGAGAGCAAGAAAAAGACCAAGAAGGAGAAGAAGCGCTTGAAAGAGCAGAGGTATGGTTTCTGGTTTGTATTTACTTGTCTCATGTGACTTTTTTAAACAGGGAGGCTGCCGTTCGAGCAGCAGAAGAGAAATTCTTACAGAAGGACCAGCCTCCAGAAACCGAAGACGACTTTGAAAGGCTTGTAGCAGCATCGCCAAACAGTAGCTACGTATGGATCAAATACATGGCTTACTGGTTGCGTCTCGCGGACCCGGACAAAGCGCGAGCAGTGGCTGACAGGTAACACTCGCGTTCGACTTCCTTCTTAGGTGCTACAACGCGAGCTGTTTCGTTTTTGTACAGGGCTTTGGAGACGATAAACTACCGAGAAGAGATGGAAAAGATGAACATATGGACGGCTTACATCAACCTGGAAAACTCGTATGCACCCTCTCCTCGGGTAATGTCACGGCTTCCATTCCAGAGATTGGAAAGACTAAGCAATTTTCCTCCAGGAGGCCGTGTCTGCACTTTTCGAAAGAGCGATGAAGTACTGTGATCCCAAAAAGCTTCACTTGTCCCTGCTTGGCGTCTACGAGAGCACAAACCAGCACGAAATGACTGACGCGCTGATGAAATCGATGACACGCAAGTTTAAAACCTCTACCAAGGTTTGTGATGATCGTTTTGTTCTATCAACTTCTAGCTCTTACATTGTCTCTCCCAGGTGTGGCTGAGGCATGTAAGCAACTTGCTAGGCCGAGGGCTGAGCGACAAGGCACGCAAAGCCTTTGAGCAAGCATGCGTCGCTCTCCCTCGCCACAAGCACATCAAGTTCATCTCGCGAGCCGCCATCCTCGAGTTCAAGTCGGGCTCGCCAGAGCGAGCGCGCGAGATCTTCGATGGCGTCCTTCGCAACTATCCCAAGAAGACAGACCTCTGGAGCGTATACTTGGACCAGGCAAGAACAATCACTTCCTCTCGCATGTATCCAACTCGTTTGTTTTCTTTCCAGGAAATTCGACTAGGAGACACTGCAATCGTCAGGAACTTGTTCGAGAGAGCTACGTGCCTGGATTTACCAGCAAAGAAGATGAAGGTAGAAAACAGCTTTTCATTCTCTCTAGCTCACACCTTGGCTTCCAGTTCCTCTTCAAAAAGTATCTAGACTTCGAGAAAGGCCAAGGCGACGAGACCCGGATCGAGCACGTAAAAACGAAAGCTATGGAGTTCGTAGAGGCTAAGGCCGGATAGTCAGAGTAGCAGTAAGTATCTATCTATTGATTGATCGATCCACACAGACTTCCTTCCAAGAAGAACGAGAAGCTTGGATGGAAGTTTTTGTAGCAATCAACCGGCTCTAGTTCCCAGCTTTGCTCTTGCGCAGCCGCTCGTATTCTCTCTTCGTCTTGTCCACTGCCATGTACATTGCCGTGAACAGCTCGCGGTGCTGCTCGAACTCCACCCCGGCGATCTTCCCCTCTTGGGTCGCCATCGCCTCGCGAAGCCTGTCCGCCAGCGCCGCTCTCTCGGCCAGGAGCTTCTCCCTCTCGCGCCGCAGCTCCTCCACCTTCTCGCCGCTCCTCCTCGCTTCCATCTCCTTGATCTCCCGCTTGTACCGCTCCGCTCTCTCCTGGCGAGCGAGCACCTCTCGCTTCATGCGCACTAGCTCCAGCTTCACCCTGGCAATCTCATCTTCGACCTCGTCCTCGACGAGTGGCTTCCTGGCATACACCCTGGCCCTGCTCATTGTTCTTCTGGATCTTCTTGTCGCTTGGGCAAAGCCCAGAAAGCTTAGTGGAAGAGAAAGAGGAAAAACTCACCGCTAACTAAATGCTCTTTGCCCTTAATAAGTCGTGTTCTAACACGAGCATCTTGGGGGTTCTAACTTGCCGCTACACGTCCCAAAACCAACTAGATATCCATCGCCCTGTGAAGTGCTGTGTTAGTCATTGCAGTATCTGGAGTACGTCTTTTCTACCTTGCAGTGGCCGCTTATTACCACTTCATCCCCGTCTTCCAGAAACTTTCGGCTGCCACCATTCTCCAGCGCCACTTGTTCGCGGCCGCCCCACGACTGTTCCAGGAGACAACCGAGGCTTCCTTGTTCCTGCCATTGGTTGATCAGTCTCTCCTCCGAATGACGCTAACTTCAGCAACTTTCATTACCGGACCACTTATAGTTCCTGACGCGAGGAGATCGCCCGGTCGGAGGTTGCAACCATTGACAGTGTGGTGAGCAAGTTGCTGCCCCAGCGTCCAGTACCTTCGGCAGCAAACTTGTGAGCTTTGATTGCAGTTTCTCGCACACTTACAGATGCTTGAAGTTGCTTCGGCAGATGGTTGATCCTTTCGGGTCCCCGTCCGGTTTTATGGTAACCTGGTATCATCAACTCGTCTTGCGCAGCTCACGCGAACTAATCAAGGTACCTCGAGTGCAATGTCATAGCTTTTTCCCTGAGGCTCTTTCAGATATGGCAATGGTGGAGGATCCTGTAATGGTGACAGTTACGATACATTACCGTGTAGAAGTACTGGATTACCTGTGCAGGTGGGTTGCAGATAAACGGCTCCAAAGCTTCCAAAGTTACAATCCATGGAGATATGGTTGTGGCTGGAAAGAGCTTTGTTACGTAAAGACAGAACCAGAAATTTATGGAAGTACCAAAGCTTTTCCCCAGAAACGGGCCAAGAGGTATCGCCTCCCACCTTTGTATATCTCTAGCTGTTCGATCGAAACTGTTAATTTGTTTGCAGGAAGATGAACTAAGGTTGTAGCATACTTACCACTCCAGTCGTTCATCAAAACCAGGCCAAAAATGTGATCGTAGGCGGATTCCACAGGAATTTGCGTTCCTAGTTCGTTTCCTGGGCCAACAAACATGGCCTGACAGACAGCCCGATTAACTAGAAAAATTCACTGTAAAGTTTCCTTTGACATACCATTTCGAGCTCAAAGTCGAGAAGACTAGAAGGCTTAAATGCCGGAGAGGACGATCCAGCTGCTGGAGCTACCTGGCCACTGCAAAACATAACTTCTATCAATTCCGTGTGCGATGAAACCGATCGAAAACTAATCTTAACCTCACCAGGGTCTAGTGATTGGGTGGCCAGAGGTCACTATCGACGAAGAACGTCCGTGATACGCAATTGGTACATGTAGCCTGCCAATGATACCTTTGCTTAGAAAAAATAAAACTGATGTGGACTCTAATCCTTTGCGAAAAGCGTACCAGTTGTCCTGAAGAGCATCCACGCCCCGGAATATTTTGCCGCAATTGAGGGCGTGATGCTTCGAGGAGAAAAAGTCTGTGTAGTCACCAATTACCGCTGGCAACTCCATCTTCACTTCGTTCTGCCACAAAGGAAAGAATGTGACGAGCATGATTCATAAACAACGCAAGAAATTTTTCTATAGCTACCAATGGAAAGAATGCCTTCTTCCGTAGATCGGTGTTGTCTCGGAGAGCTGGCTCGTCCGCTAGACATACATAACAGTAGCAATCAATGCTCCATGAAAATCCTACCAAGATATTCGAGAGCTTACCGGATAAGAGCTTTTGGACGGTGCCCCGTGTTTCTTTCCAGGCCGCTCGTCCCATAGCCATAAAGCGATTGAGGGAAGTCTGGAAAACGAGCAAATCACCCGACGATGCGAAAAATCTTTGGTAGTACCTGGTGGAAGCAATCCGAATCGCGCAGCAATGGCCCCGTGAACAATCCCGCCGCCGCGATAGCTCTCAGATCCAGCACCTGCTCGCCAATCGCGACTCCGGGCCTCGGCGTGGCATCCGATCGCGAGCTAAACACCCCATACGGCAGATTATGGATCGAGAAGTGGGAATCGGGGGCGACCGGGACGAATGTGGCGATCGGCGATGGCGATGGCGCCATTTCTTCCTCCTCTTTCCTAGCTGGGAAGAGTGAAATATTTCTCTCGGTACCCTCGAGAAAATATACCCAGGATCATACGACATGGGCCGTTCGATCTAAAATCACACACATTAAAGGGAAGTGGCCGAGATAGATTATCACGCGATCGCAAGTCGCAACGCTATATACATTCTACCAAAACTTTCTAGAACAATTTCAAAGAGGAAATAAAGAGACAAGCTTCGTGCGAGCGAGCGAGCGAGCAAGCGAGCGAGCAAGCGATCGACGGATGGATGAATTCAAAGATCCCACTTCTTCTCCAGCGCGTCCATCCTCGCGGCGAGATCCTTGCACGCCAGCTTGAGCGATTGAAACCTCTGGCGACGAGCTTGACCTTGGAGCTGGGCGATCGGTGGAGGCGGCGGCTCCATCACCTGGATAGGAGCTGGCATCAGCGGAGGCCGCCCGGGCTTGCGCTTGAGAGGCATGGGCAGATCACAATAATCCATCTCTCCGGGCTTGCGCATGGCCAGATAACGAAAATCCATCTCTGGAGCTTGCCTCGGAGGGCGACCAGGCTTGCGCTTGAGAGGCATGGCCTGATCACGAAAATCCATCTCTGGAGCTTGCCTGGGAGGGCGCCCGGGCTTGCGCTTGGCCTCGCGTGGAACCATCTCTGGAGCTGGATGCCTGCGAGGCCGCCCGCGCTTGCGCTTTGGAGGCGTGGTGGCCTCGAGAGAAACCATCTCTGGCATCGCCGCCGCGGGAGGATCGGGAGAGGGATCAGGACGCTTCCTCCGGGAGAATGCTTGCATTATCTTCGGCCTCGGCGCTGGGATCTCGGCCTGCGGTGCCGCCTCGGTCTGGAGCAGCATTTCCTGCCTTACCCGCTGGGCCGCCTGGGCGTGCCATTCCTCCAGCTCCGGCTTGGGGCTCGCGGAGGAAGATGGATCTTTCTTGAGCAGCGATGGCGCGCGATCGTGAATCGGGAAAGCCGGCAGCGCGATGATCGCTTTCCTGGCGGGAATCACTTGCGGCAGCGGAGAAGAGAGAGCCATTTCTCCGCTTTGAAATAAAAACTTAAACCCTGGAGAACTTGACAGATTATTGGAAACCCAACGAACTTGACGGAATCTCCTCCTCAAAGTTGACAGAATACCCTAAGCTTACCGGAATGTCCTCCTTAAATCTGACAGAATATCCCCATTTCTGAACGAACTTGACGGAATGTCCTCCTTAAACTTGACAGATTTGGCCCTAGAACAATGGAGCACAGGACGAGCGCGCGTGCGAGAATGGGGGCGTGTTCTCTCCGGTGAGCTCGCATTTGCATGAAATCCCTGGAGCGATGGAGGATCTGGAGGACGAAATCACGGTGTTCAAGAGGCGAGAGATCCGATTCTACGAGTTCCCGGCCGCGCCGCCCAATGCTGCTCTCGGCGACTCCAAAATCTCGGTGCTGCTCGAGAATCTGGAGCTCCGCCGCTTCGTCCTGGCCCCGGTGCCCGCCCTGGACGAGGATCTTTGCACGCAGTTCATCAAGACGTTCGCGAGGAAGGCGTCGATCGACGGCGGCCACGGCATCGTCCGGGGCCGCAGCGTCGTCCTGTGCGCACACAGCGTCCAGCGACTCACCGGCCTGCCGATGGGAAGCTCCTCCTATGGCAAGCCCCTCGCGGCGCCGGAGAATGCCTCGATGCTGCGCGAGATGTTCCCGGGCATGAAGCATTCCGGGGAGAACTACTACTTGCCGCGGATGAGCCGCCGGGTGGACAACGCGGACGAGTTCATCGCCATCGCCCGGATGCTCACGGAGAGGCTGCTGTGCCAGACCGATAGCCACAAGTACGCCGAGGCGGAGCTCCTGCTGGGGATGAGGTTCTCGCTGGCGGCCGGGGTCGTGATGCCGTGGGCGGTGTTCATGGCGCGGAGGATGCTCGAGGCGGTGGTGAGGAGCAAGGAGAGGAAGTCGGTGTTTCTCTTCGGGCAGTGGCTGTCCGGGCTCATTCGCAGCCAGCTCGAGAGCGCTCCAGGCGACGAGAGGAAGAGAAAGGAGCGAGGATCTTCCGCGGAGGACGATGAGATTGGCGTTGCTGCGAAAGGGAGCCGGATCAAGCAACGGAGGTACGTGAGTGCTGGACGCGGCGGCGGTTCCACGTCCGATGAGTCACCGCGCGAGAAAGGCCGCCGACGAAAGGAGTTTGGAGGATCTGAGGATTCAGGATCATCGCCGGAGAAGAAACGCGCGGTGGCTATGACGAGCATCATGGAACAAGAGCAAGGAGCTACGTCGACCCTCTCGGAACCGGATCGCCCACCGGAGAAAGAAAACGCAGAATTCCAAGCGGCTATCAAACATTCTCCATGCAAACTCGAGGCTCCGGTTAAACTCGAAGAAACACCACCGTCAACCCTCTCGTCAACCCTCTCGGAAGCGGATCGCCCACCGAAGAAAGAAAACGAAGAGTTCCAAGCGGCTATCAAACTCGAGGCTCCGGTTAAACTCGAAGAAACACCGGGTCAGGACCAAGCAGCTGGAGAGACGACACCGTCACCGAACGAAAGCGAAGAGTTCCAAGCGGCTTCTCCATGCAAACTCGAAGAAACACCGGGTCGGGACCAAGCAGCTGGAGAGACGGCACCGTTACCGAACGAGAACGAAGACTTCCAAGCGGCTTCTCAAAGAAACGGGTCAGGACCAAGCAGCTGGAGAGGCAACACCGAAGAGTTCCAAGCGGCTTCTTCATGCAAACTCGAAAACACACCACCGTCGCTTGGTGAGGATCAAGCAGCTGGAGAACCGGACGAGAAACTTGGACCGAAAGGCTGCCAGGACCCCGTGGACGAAGACGAAGCAGTTCTATCCAAGGAACTAGACAAGGACCAAGCTGCTGTGTCCTCGAGCACGGATGTGGTGGAAGAACCCCGAGCTGTGGAGATCGAACAGGCAGAAGGTGGCATCGAAGTAACTGGAAATCCAGAAGATGAAACAGTCAAGCTAGAGGACCAGGCAGTTTCGAGAAAGAGCCAGCTTCTTTGCGAGCTCCTCATGCTGAGGGAGGAGGTCCTGGGAGCCGCGGAACTGGATCAGGAGTTCGTAGACTTGGAGATTGTGGAGCGTCACCGGGAGCTCCAAGAGAGCGCGCAAGAGCTTGTCTCGCTCGATGAGGAGCTCGGGCAGCTGCGCCAAGAGGTGGACGACGCAAAGTTTGCCGTGGAGCTGGAGGAAAGCCGGAGGGCACCAAAGGAGTGCGTGAGAAAGATCCGGGACGAGTACATAACTTATAAGAAGATGGTCAAGGAGTTCCTCCAGGTTTCTGAGCCTCCATCTTAGAAACTCTATTTAGCTTTGATGATCTCTTATGGTAGGAGATGATGGAAGGAGATCCGAGTTGTGGGGCTCCTCCATCGTAGCATACAGCTGACTAACTTATCTTTCGATTCTCGAGTTTTCAAGCCACGGTTTCGACTTGAGCAAGCTGAGGCTCGTAGGAATGCTGGAAGTGATTGGCAGTAAACCAGGGATGGAAGAAGAGCTGAGAAGCGGTGGGTCTGTGAGAAGGATCTCGCTGGAGGCAGAGTCGGAGAAAGTCTTTGGCTTGGTCCGAGAGGAAGTCGGGGACTCGGGGTGTTTCCAGAGTGGTGGCCAGTTTGTAGAGCACTGGAACCTGTGGAGACAAGAAAGAAGAACAGTGAGAACTTTGAGAACTTTGGAAAAGATTGCACGAACCGCTTCGTAGTCACTCCATGGTGGTCTTGCTTGTGCCATTTCGATCACCGTGCAGCCGAGGCTCCATATATCGACTGAGAGATCGTAGCCACTGCAGCGGCTCTTCAAAATCTGGAAGAAAGTTAGTGAGCGCTTGTTCTCGCTCGAAACTATCAAACCTCTGGAGCCATCCAGTATGGAGAGCCTTTTAGCGAGCGTGCAAACGACTTGGCAGTAACCTGGATGGAAGCTAGAGCGCGATCTGAGAAAATCACTGCGAGAGACTTACGTGTTTGGCCATTCCAAAGTCCGCGAGCTTTACATTTCCATCCGAGTCAATGAGGACGTTTGCCCCTTTGATATCCCTGTTGCAAAACCGGAAGCTTTAGGTAGGAGGAACTTTCACTGCTTTTGTTGTTACCTGTGCACGGTTTGTTTGCTGTGGAGGTACGCTAAGCCACACACGATTTGCCGTGCGTAACTTTTGATCACTGGCTCTTCGAAGGCGCCATACTCGTGGAGGAGCTTTTGGATGGAGCCACCTGATGCAAACTCCAAGTAGATATGGAGCCTATCCTTCATCTGGACAAAACAAAGGCATGTTTCGTCGATCCATCAAGCGACGAGAGAGCGAAGTACTGATTCGGAGCCGTAGTACTGGACGATGTTTGGATGCCTCAGGCGGCTCAACATAGCAATCTCCTGCGAACGCGAGAGAAGAAACCATGTCAAAACAAACAAGAGGAGAACCACGAAAAAGAAAAGCTGGAAGAAGCCTACTTGTCTCAGCTGTTTGCAACATTCTTGAGACCTGTAGTCACTGCAGGAGATCATGGCCTCCTTGATGGCACAAAACCTTCCAATATAGCTGAAGAAGAAAAAAAAAAAGAGAGGAAGACTCAACAGGATCACCAAAGAAACCAAGGAGAGAAACCTGTCAAAGCCAACATAGACGTTTCCAAAGGATCCACTTCCGATCAGAGCTCCCTTCTTCCAGCAAGCTGGAACTCCGGGAGACTTCTGGAGAGGGATCTCCAATGTCTCCATTCCAACTTAAGAAGGAACCTGGATAAAAAACCCCTTAGAACCCCAGTCGAATGGATCGAGAGATTTATACCAGGGGAAATGCAGCAACAGCAACAGTGGCGAGAGAAGCTGGATAACGACTGGCTCGCTTCCATCCTCCCTCCTCCTGAGAATGATCCGCATTGCGATGCCAAAGCATTCACGAGAAGAATATATGAGCAATAATGGCGGCGGACCAATCGGTCTCATTTGTTTTGACGACATAGCGCGCATCCCCTGGCCCGCGTGTCCCTCTCGCCCTAGCTCGAATCCCCCTTGTCCCTCGTGTTCCTCATGCCCTAGCTCGAATCCCCCTTGTCCAAAAAGCCCGGCAGCATGAAGAGCCCTAACTTTCAAATTATGGATATTCCATGTACTTTTTAGGGTTCTTGGGGCTGGGCGGGCGAGCTGCGGCGATGGAGGGCTACCTCGACCATCTCAGATCGCTGCGCAGGCTCATGAATGGTACGCGAAATCTCTGTGCCTCTGGAAATCTGCGACGCGGCTGGTGGTGTTGGGGCAGACTATGAGGACAAGGCGGCGGTGGTGAGCGCCGAGCGGCACAAGCAAGAAGCTGTGATACGAACTCTTGAGAAGGATCTGGAATGCGGTAAGCTATCGGTGATATCGAATCAGACGAAAGCGATTTGCGTGATGATTCTCAATCCTTTTCTTTTGTTGTTTCCACAGTGAATGCTGAGTCCCGGCGCTTGGATAGCGAGACTGATGGAATCTTGAAGCAAAGCGGCTTCGTTTCGGCTTCGATTCTCAGGAGCCAGAGGGAGCTTTCCAAGCTGGATAAAGACGCCGTTGCGCTCGCGGATGCTTTGGAGGTGCTGAAGAAAGACACAGTGGTGGAGGCCGAGTCTATCCACAGGAAAAAGTGAGCCTCTTTGATTCTCTTCCGCTTTTTCTCCAGCAAATCTCGTCTCGCCCCGCGTGCAGGGCGCACTTTGACGAGCTTTCCAGTGACTTCGCTGCAAAGTTTGAACTCTACAAGTCCAAGGTGATCTTCTTTTCTCGATGTCTTCAAGCTAAGCTTATGGCACCAAGTTTCCAGGCAAATCTCGCTCTATGCGTTCTGTGTGGTCGGCAGGAATAGGTGGGCTCTCCTTGTGCTTTTATCTTATTTTCACTTCTTTCACTTTTGCTGATCATTCAGTGTCGTTATCTCTCGGGGAATTTAGAAACTAAATCGGAACAATGCAGCGCTTTGGAAAAGTATACAGGATAGTTATAACGTTTTCGAGTCGTGGCGCCTTCACGGGGCCGAAGTTAGTCATTCAGCATAATAGGATAGCTACAGGGGAGGATTGTGGAGAGGTAACTGGAAAGGAGCGCTCCTTGTCGCAAGAGGAGTGCACCGCTATCAGGAGAAGTGACAGGCCAGTGGTGGCGGAGAACTTTAAGCGGAAGCCTGCCGAGTGTATGCTGGTGGAACAAGTGTACAAGAAAAAGGAGCTCTTGAGACCGTCGGGCATCACTTTCGAAACGTGTGAGAAGCCGAAGCGGACCAGGTTGCTGGAGCCGGCTGGACAGAAACTGCTGAATGACTTGGGCCTGGACTTGTTCTACTTCACGCCGGTCCCCAAGAGTGATCCCGACCTATGTCAGGCCTTCATTTCTACGTATGCTCATCCTTTTCGATACGGGATGGTTGACGGGAAAGCAGTGCGGATCAACTACGAGGAAATCGCAAAGCTGACAGGTCTTCCAATTGGGAACTGGAAGTATAAGAAGTACGACCTTCGAGGCAAGCACCAGGCGATCCTGTATGGAATCCTGCGGACTTTCAAGCAGAAGAAGCCCGGCCTATTTTCTCTGGAGCATGTGAAGTTCGGGGACGGGCTTGAGGACAGCATAGCCTTCAGAGAAGTTGCCAGCCTACTTATGGAGAGGCTCATATGCAAGCCGCATCCTTCGGACAGCGTAATGCCGCAACTCATTCTGTCCATGCATGGATCTCTCCGGCGCAACCAGATCATGAAGTGGGCTCAGCTGTTGACAGTTCGGCTTTGCAAGTCGGTATTCTATACCCGACTAACAGGATCATTTCCGTTTTGCTACGCCGAGTGGCTGACGGGTCTCATTCGCCAGCAGATCGAAGGTGACGAAACCAGAGACCTTGAGTTGGAAACAAGCTTGAAGGCTCTGGCTAAGATGGAGATAGACAGGGCGGTTTTGGACTCTAGGATTCAATCTCTGGAGGCTCAGAAGCAGCAGTGATGTCAGTGGTAACAGCGGGAGGACTCGGAGAGCAGAAGTCGCAAGAGAAGATTGAAATCGAAAAGCTCGCAGCACAGCTGAGGAGAGCAGGCTCTTGTGAAGACATTGTCTTGGGCAGACGAGTTCACGCCAGGATTCTACAGAGCCGCTACCGAAACTACAGGTATTTGGCCAACCTGGTCGTGGAAATGTACGGTGACTGCCACAGCGTGAGTGAAGCTCGTGCTGTCTTCGACGGGATTGAAAAGCCAAACGTGTTCTCGTGGAACACCATGCTGGGGGCTTACGGGCAGAACGGGCAAGTGGAGGATGCAAAACAAATCTTCAACGCAGCACCGGAGAAGAACCTCCTTTTGTGGACTACTTTGATATCCGCATATGCAAGGAACGGGCATCTGGAGGAAGCCAAGAGTACCTTCGATGGATTGCCCGAGTCGGATGTGGTAACACAGACAACAATACTGCTGGCTTTTCTGGAGACTGGGAACTTGGAAGCCGCGGAGTCCATCTACATAAGTATGCCCGTACTCGACACAATCGGCTGGACGATCATGCTAAAGGCATACGCAGAGAGAGGACATCTCCAGAAGGCAAGGCGGTTTTTCGAGTTGATGCCAGAAATGGACGTTGTATCTGCGACTTCCATGGTGGTGGCCTATGCCGAGAACAGCGACCTTGAAGATGCCAAGGCGGTCTTTGACAGCATGCCTCAGAGGAACATCGTCTCGTGGACAGCGATGGTGAAGGCGTACGCGTGTGAAGGGGATATCGGGAAAGCCAAGCCTCTGTTCGATAGAATGCCCGAGCACAACGTGATATCTTTCACGGCTATGCTGCAAGCGTACTTGGACAACGGGAAGCTCCAGCTTGCGAAGGCAATATTCGACGCCATGCCCGAGCGGGACGTCATTGCGTGGAACTCCATGGTTCAAGGCTATGCGAAGATGGGATATCTGGAGGAGGCAAAGCTTCTGGTAGACAGAATGCCCAGGTGGAACACGGTGACTTGGACGGCCCTGGTTGAGGGGTATGCTCAAAGCGGGTATATGGATGAAGCGAGGTCAACGTTTGACAGGATGCCGGGTCGGGATATGATGGCCTGGAACAGCATGATCGGGACGTATGCTCAGCTCGGGTATATGCACGAGGCGAAGGAGATCTTCGCTATGCTTCCGGAGCGAGACGTTTTCTCGTGGACTGCCATGATCCCGGTTCACGCAAGAGGTGGCAGCGTTTACAAGGCGAAGATGGTGTTCGACACCATGCCTCAGCAGAACGTGGTGTCCTGGAATGCGATGGTTGCTTCGTATGCTCACTGCGGGCATGCGAAGTCCGCCGTGGAGCTCTTTAAGTTTATGGAACAGGAAGGACTTCGTCCAAACGACATCTCCTTCGTGAGCCTTCTCACGGCATGCAGCAGGCTTGGCGCGCTGGACGAAGGCCACGGTTACTTCCTCCGGATGGTGCTCGACTACTGCGTTGCTCCACTCAAAGAACACTACAGCTCCATGTTGGATCTTCTTGGACGGGCTGGGCGCCTGCGCGATGCCGAGGAGCTGGTCAAGACGATGCCGTTTGTTCCCGACTCCGTGATGTGGGCGACACTGCTAGGTGCTTGCAAGCTCCACAAAGATACTGCGCGTGGACAACGAGCAGCGAAGCAGATCATCAACTTGGACACGAAGAGCTGCCTGGCTTACGTGCTGCTGGGCAACATCTGCGTCGAGCGCTCCGAGCAACTTAAGCATCAAGTCTTGCTTCCTCAAGCTCGTCCAGCTCGAAGTCTTGTGGCTCCTCCGAGTGCTTGAGCTGTCCAGCGTACATGTTGTAGAGCGTGACATACGTCGCGGAATCGGCAGAGTCGAGCTCCAGGAGCTCCTTGGCAACTCTGGCACCCCGAGCAACGTCGTTGTGGATCTTGCACGACATGAGCAGGTTCTTCCACACTGCTTCGTTGGGCTTGAACGGCATCTTTCTGATCACGGCTTCGGCCTCCTCCAGCCAGCCGATTCTTCCCAGCAGGCCGACGATGCACGAGTAGCGCTCCCGCTTGGCCGTCACCCGGTACTCCGTTCCGAGCTGGAACAAGTAGTAGAAGGCTTCCTCGAGCAGGCCAACGTGCTGGCAGACGGAGGCGACGCTCATGAGCGCTACGTTGTCGGGCTTAAGTCCTTCCTGCTGCAGTCCACGAAACAGCTTGCGTGCCTCGGCAACCTCACCGTGCTGCGCCGCCACCGTGACTATCGAGTTCCAGGAAACGAGCGCCCGCTCGCGCATGGAGTCGAAGACTCTCCGTGCCTCTCTCGGGCTCCCGCACTTGCCATACATGTTGATGAGCGTGTTGTCGATGATCACGTCCGAGAGGAAACCGGACTCAGCTATGCTCCTATGGATGATCCTGGCTTGGACGAGCCCGGCATGGCCAGCACAGGCGTCAAGGATGGCATTTACAGTTCCCCGGTTGAAGCTGACGCCTTCGAGGTCCATTCTCCTGAACAAAGCGATGGCCTTTCCCCCTCGGCCGTGTTTGGAATAGGCCGAGATCATGGAGTTGTAGAGCAGCACGTCCTTGGGCGCGGCTGTTTCGAAGGCTTCCGCTGCCTCCTCCAGAGAGAAGCACTCCGAGTACATCCCGATGAGAGCGGGCGAGACCGTGGTGCTCGAGTCGTATCCCGAGCCTTTCACTTGCTCGTGGATCATCCTCCCGCGGCTTAAAGACTTCAAGCTGCTGCACGCATCGAGAATTCCCGCAAAGGTGACGGTGTCGGGCTTGTCTCCATACTGCTGCATCCAGTGCCACAGCTCGAAGGCCTCGTAGTGGCTGCCGTCTTCGACACAGGAGCACAGCATGGAAGTCCAGGAGACAACGTCCCGGTAGTCCTGGATGCTCTGGAAGACGACCTTGGCATCCTCCAGACTCTGGCACTTTCGGTACGCGTTGATGAGGCAGTTCGCCACCGCGACGTCCCGGAGCAGTCCTGCCGAACAGATCTGAGCGTGGAGCATCCGGACCTGACTTATGTCGGTGAAACACGCATCGAGGCTCGCGAAGAACGTCACTCTATCCGGCTTGGTGCCTTCGAGCTGCATCGAGGCGAGCAACTCCAACGCGGCGTCACCCTGAGCGTTCTGGACGTATGCCGACGCAAGAGCGTTCCAGGAGACGAGATTCTTCTCCTCCATCCTGTCGAAGGCGGCCTTCGCTTGCTCGAGTCTCGAGCACCTCCCGTACATAGTGATCAAAGTGTTCCCGACAGAGACGGACTCCTCGACTCCACACTCGGCCGCACACTCGTGAGCTCGGACTCCCTGTTCCAAGTCCCCCAGGCTCGCGCAGCTATCGATGACGCTCACAAAAGTCTGCTCGCCTGCCTTGACGCCTTCCTGGTTCATCCGGTGGAACATCTCCACTGCCGCTTCGTCCGCCCCGCACTGAGCGTAAGCAGTCAGGAGCGTGTTCCAGGCGAAGAGATCCTTGTCCCGGACGCCATCAAACGTTCTCTTTGCGTCGGAGATGCTTGAGTTCCTGGCAAAAACTTGGAGCAGCGCCGTCTGGAGGAGCACGTCCGACCGAAGCCCCGCGGAGGTGACGAGCTCCTGGAGCAGCCTCACCTGGCGTAGGCTGGTGCAGACCTCGAGCACGGTGAGAAAGGTGACTTTGTCGGGCCGGACGCCTTCGTGCTGCATGGTCCGGAAGAGCTTGAAGGCCTCGCGCTCCAGCCCGTTGTGAGCGTAGGCGTCGACGATCGAGTTCCAGGACGAGACGCTCTGCAAGGCCATGGCATCGAAGAGCTGCTTGGCGTCGCGGACGCTGCCGCACTTGCCGTGCATGTGGACGAGCGAGTTCCCGACGAAGACGTTGGAGCTGTGGAAGCCATTCTCGGCGGCTCTGTCGTGGATCATCCTCAGCTCGCTGGCCTCCTCGGCGGCACCGAGAACACTCACGAAAGTCACCTCGTTTGGAGCCACGGAGCACTCGTGCTGCATCCTCCGGAACATCTCCAGCGCGCTCTTGCGGTGGCCGTGCTGCGAGTAGGCCCGGATGATGGCGTTCCAGGACACAACGTCGCGCTGCTCCATCCTCTCGAAGACGCGCCGGGCCTCCTCCACAGCGCTGCAGTCGCCATACATGCTCACCAGCGTGTTCGCGATGACCACATCCGACTCGAGCTCGTCCGCGACGATCATGGCGTGGATCTCTCGGCCGTGCTCCAGGCTCTCCTCCACGCAGCAGCAGCCGAGCAAGCTCAAGTAAGTCACCCTGTCCGGCTTCACTCGCTCGTGGATCATCCGCTGGAAGAGCTCCAGCGCCCGCTCGCCATTGCCAGCCCGGGCCAGCACCGTGATCATCGTGTTCCAGGACACTACATCCTTGTGGGCGATGCTCTCGAACACCAGCTCGGCCTCGTCCAGGCGCCCGGCTCGTCCATACAGGTTGGCGAGAGCGTTGCCGAGAAAGGTGACGGACTGGAGGCCTGCGGCAAGAATTAGCTCGTGAATCGTCCTCACTGATCTTGCCGATGGCGAGGAAGAGCACGACTCCAAGGCTGTGAGGAATCCTACCTTGTCCGGCTTGGCTCCCTCGAGCAGCATCGCGTGGAAGAGCTCCAGCGCCGCGGTGGTATGCCCGTTGTGGGCATACGCGGCCATGATCATCGTCCAGGAGAAGACGTTGCGGTGGAGGATCCTGTCGAAGACGCTGCGCGCGTCCTCCACTCGGCCGAGCTTCCCATACGACTGGACAAGGAGGTTGAGCAGCAGGCGATCGGTGGCGAGAGTGGCCGAGGAGAGGATGTGGCGGTGGATGCGCTTCGTCTGCCAGACGTGGATGCATCGCCGGATGAGCGAGGAGATGTGTGGAGCCGAGGTGGATTCGCCGTCGTCGCCATCGCTTCGATCCAGCCGGTCCAGCTCCCGGTCGAGAGTGAGATCGGCGCTGGAAGAACCAACACCGGCAGTAGAGAAGAAGTTTCTCCTGGATCTCGAGCAGCGCAAGAGCATGGCGGTGGTGGGAGAGATCTAGGTGATGGGCGATCGCATTCTTCGATGCTTGAGCCGGACTTCCATTGCTATGGCGGATGCTGGCCGGAGATCGAGAGGACCAGCAGCCCAGCTTCCGAGAAGAGCCCTAGACGAGGATCCAGTTGATGGGCTTGATAGATTCGGGAAATCCAGTCGAGCTCGTCTCATGGGGATCGCGGAGGAGATGGAAAGATTGCCGCTCGAGGAAGCCATCCACGGGCTGGAGATGCTGGGTTTCAGTCCAGGAGTGGAGCTCTACGCGGCATTGCTGCGACGATGCGGCAGCCAAGGATCCCTGGCGGAGGGAATTCGCGTCCACGAGCACATTGCAAGGAGCAAGCTTGTGCGAGTGAGGTTCTTGGAGAACACGCTCATGGAGATGTATGGGAGGTGTGGTGGCGTGCAAGAGGCTACCGCGGTCTTCGAGAGAATGGAAGATTGGAACGTCTACTCGTGGACGATCATCATCGCAGCAAATACCCAGAACGGCCATCCACTCGAGGCACTGCAACTCTTCTACCGGATGAACCAGGAAGGGACTGCTCCAAACAACCACACTCTAAGCATCGCCATCGCAGCGTGCTCGGCACTGGTGGATCTCTCGCGAGGGAGGAAGATCCATGCGAGCTTGGAAGGCTGTGGCTTCCAGGCCGACGATCACGTCAAGAACACGCTCATGGACTTCTACACCAAGTGCGACAGCCTTGACGACGTGAAGAAGGTGTTTCGATCGATGGGAGGCGACGCCAAGGTGGTCAGCTGGACGTGCCTCATCGTTGGCTGCGTCCAGCTCGGGAGCTACAGGGAGGCCTTCCACTTCTTCAAGCTCATGGAGCTCCAGGGGATCCACGCTGACACCGTCACTTACGCCTCGCTGCTCGACGCCTGCTCCAACTTGGCGTCGCTCTCGCAGGGCCGGAAGCTCCACGCTCGCATCGCCGAGCTCGGGCTGCTCGAGGCCGACGTGGTGCTCCAGACTTCCATCCTCACCATGTACTCGAAGTGCGGAAGGCTGGGAGAAGCTCGCGGGATCTTCGACAGGATTGGCGAGAAGAACATCGTGGCGTGGTCGGCGATCATCATCGCCTACGCGCAAAACGGCGACTGCTCCACCGCGTTGAAGCTCTTCTGGAAGATGGAGCAGGCGGGGCAGAAGGCGAGCGAGACGACGTTCGTGAGCGTCTTGTACGCTTGCAGCCATGCCGGCCTCGTCGACGATGCGTACTACTACTTCACCACCATGATGAGCGAGAGGAAGCTGGAGCCTTTGCCGGGACACTATGGTTGCATCGTGGATCTGCTGGGCCGAGCCGGGCGACTGGCCGATGCCGAGGAGCTCATACAGCGGATGAAGGCTCCACATTCGGGGGTGCTCTGGACGACGCTTTTAGGAGCTTGCAAGACGCATGGAGATATGATGCTGGCGGAGCGAGCAGCGGAGAGGATCCGCGAGCTGGATCCAGGCTCTGCGACACCGTACGTACTGCTTTCGAATGTCTACTCGGAAGCTGGACGATGGGACCTGGCAGCCAGCGTGAGGAAGCGCATGGACAACATGAAAGTGAAGAAACCAGCGGGGAAGAGCTGGGTGGAAGTGAGAGGCAAGCTGCACGAGTTTGTAGCGGGGGACCAGTCCCATCCGAAGATCGGGGAGATTGTTTTGGAGCTCAAGAGGCTGCTCGCGCTGATCAAGGAAGCCGGATACGCTGCGGACAAAAGTGCCACACTCCACAATGCGGAAGAGGAGGAGAAGGAAGGACTCCTTTACTATCACAGTGAGAAGCTCGCGATCGTCATGGGGCTGCTTCACAGCCCCCGCGGAGAGCCCGTCCAAGTCGTGAAGAACTTGAGAGTTTGCTCCGACTGCCATGCTGCCGCCAAGTTCATCAGCAAGGTGGTGGACAGGCAGATTGTCCTGAGGGACACGAAGCAGTTCCACCACTTTGAGCACGGGCGCTGCTCGTGTGGAGACTACTGGTGATCGCAAACGAGCTCTTCTACCAATAGTCTCGGCAAGAACAATTTCCATCTTCCATGTGATGGAACAAGTTGATGTCGCGGATGACGATCTTCCTCTCGGTCACCTTGGATATCACCTTCGCGGCGGTGTGGCAGTCGGGACACACGCGGATATTCTTGACGATGCTGATGGTCGTCTTTGGAGGAGTTTTGATCAGCCCCAGCCCGATGGCCAGCTTCTCGCTATGGAAGTAGAGGATGTCCTCCTTCTCCTCCTCCTCGGCGTCATGCAGTACTTGCTTGGTATCGGGTACGTAGCCGTGTTCTTTCATGACTTTGCTCACTCTCTGAATCTCCTGGCAGATTTGGACGAGGTCCGGGTGCCAGGAATCGCCCACGATGAACTCACTCGTCTTGCCGTTGATCTCGATCCAGCTCCTGCCGCCGGGCTTCTTTATTCCTCGGTCACGCATCAACTTCTGGACTTTGGCGGCCATGTCCCACTTCCCAGCGTCCGAGTAGATGTTGGAGAGGAGGCTGTAAGGCCCGGCGCGGTGCGGAGCCAGCCGGAAGACGTGCTCCGCGGCTCGAGCTCCAATCTCCACGTTGCGGTGGATCCGGCAGGCCTGCAGCAGCGACATCCACGACACCGAGTCGGGAGGGATCGGCATCCGGTTGAGGAACTTCTCGGCGTCGGCCAGCCAGCCAGCACGCGCGAGAAGATCGACCGCGCAGCCAAAGTGCTCGGCAACCAGCGGGATCCCCCGGTCGGGCTCGAGCGTGGTGAAGTAGTGCCAGGCCTGGTCGACGAAGCCGCCGTGGCTGCAAGCGTAGAGGACGTGCGTGAAGGTGACGCTGTCGGGCTTGTAGCCATCCTGCTCCATGCTCCAGAAGAGCTTCAAGGCGTCGCCGAAGTGGCCGTTTCGAGCGTAGGCCGCCACCATGCTGGAGAAGGTGATGTTGTTCGGCTCCAGCGTCTGGTCGAAGAGCTCGCGGGCCTCGTCAACTCGACCACACTTCGCATACATGTTGAGCAGCGCGGTATGCAGCACGACGTCGATGCAAACGCCCGAGGTGATGATCCGGTCGTGGAGGTGGCGGCCTTGGGCGATGGCGGACAGGTTCCCGCAAGCGTCCACCAGCGTCGCGAAGGTGAGGGCGCTGGTGATCCGGAAGCCGTCCTGGTCCATGACGCGCAGGAGCTCCAGCGCCGACGCCTCGCGGCCGCACTGGATCCTCCCGGCCAGCATCGTCGTCCACGACACCTCGTCGCGCGACGGCATCGCCCAGAAGGCGCGCTCGAAGTCGTCCATGCCGCCGCAGCGGCGGTACATGTTGAGCAGCGAGTTGGCCACCACGGGGTCGTGGAGCATGGCGGTGCTCGCGAGCGGCGCGGTGATGGAGCGCCCGAGCTCCAAGTTGGCGGTGTCGGCCACCGCGCAGAAGATGGCGCTCACGACGTGGGCGTCGGGGTGGCAGCCGCGGAGCTGCATCGCGCGGTAGTGGCCGAGAGCCGCGCGGGGCCGCGCGTTGCGGAGGCAGGCCGAGATGAGCATCATCCAGGAGAAGACGTTGGGGTCGGGCTGGCGGGCGAAGACGGCGTGCGCGCTCTCCACGTCCCCGCACTGGCCATACGCCTGGACGAGCTTGTTGGAGAGGTAGCGGCTGCGCAGGGCGCCGGTGGCGAGCATGAGCGCGTGGAGCTGGTGGGCTTGTGGGAGAGCTCGCTCGGCGGCGCAGCGGTGGAGGAGGAGCTCCACCGCCTCGCGGACGAGGCCCGGGGGGTGTGGCTGCCGCTGGAGCGCCGCCAGGACGTCCTTGACTGGGAGGCGCTCCACGTCGTGCCTGGTGAGCAGCATCTGGGTCGACGATTCTGGGCTCTCTTGAGCTGCCAGCGCCGATGCTCGGCGAATCCATGACCGCCCACGACGAGAACTCGTGCTCCTCCTCCACCACATTTACGCAATGCCATTCATTCCCCAGGTACCTAAATGATCACCCTCCAAGATCTTTGGACTGAAACTCTTTCTCGCAGCTAGAGATACGTCCTCTTTCTCGACAAAAGAGAGATCTTTCATTTCAAGGGTGGAAGTATAGTAGCGCGTTAGAACGAGAAGGTCGTGGATCTCTCAGGTGGTGGGATCCAACCCACGCCATGGTAGCAAGCACTCACCCATCCTCACTTCACGTTTTCCACCATCCAGACCTCGATCGCACGAACATAATCCATGACACCCTTCTCGCTGCCAAGGCCATCTTTGCTCGATGCAATCTCTTGCTTTGTTTGTAGGTAGCGTTTCTCCAGCTCCTTGGCCATCCCCACCACCTTGGCCATGGAAGGTTGTGGTTGTCAGCCAGGATGGAGACCATGTTGAGGTACTTCTCGCTCGTCCACTCCTTGAATGAGACCAAGTCGGTGTGGATCGCAATGTGGTGCGTTCCAATCTCGATCTTCCGGACGACTGCCAGCACGGATTTACTCAGCCCGAGTACATCCAGGAAATCGATCGCTGTGAAGCAGGGAGGCACCCCGCACGTAATCTCTCGCATCCAGAGGTACGTCTCCGGGTTTGGGACGATCTTCCGGCGGAGCCAGCTCGATTCCACCTCGCTCATCTCCAGGCACTTGATCACGGAGTCCAAGAAGCGAGCTCTCTGGCGCTCCGTCCATCAAGGTCTCGCGGATGAGCCGGGCTTTGTGAGAGCCGGGCTGCAGAAACTCCATCCACCACTCGTCAACTTGATTGGTCGCCGTCCTGTGGGCTGGATTGAGTTCGAGCGTCTCTGCGGGGCTGAGAAGCGAATTCGCAGGGGGGATGTGGAAGGTGTCTTGGTGCTTGAAAGTGGAGAGGATGGACAAGGGTGTCATGGCGAAATCTTAGAAGATCTAAGTCAGATTGGTTTGCTTGGGGGTTAAGCACATGCTAATCAATAAGTACTTGCAAAGGAATCTGCGTAGCTTGAATCTGTCACAAACTTGTCACCGTATAGCCTAGTATGAAAGACTTGCAAATCACAAACAAAATACTTGCATTATGTTTTTTCTTTTTTGGAAAAATGCTAGTGCCATTCACTTATGTTGGAGACTAAGTAGTCTTATTCCTCCAGCTAATAATAATAATAAAACATAGTTTTATTGTGTCGTACTGGAAGCATGAGACCACAAGCGAGGATTTGTAATTACCTTCCTACTCCTCACAACTGGACCCAAAAGACACTGAAAACATGTCAAAACACCAGCTAAGGTGATGAGCTATTCCTTTTGTCCTCTTTTTTGGTAATATCATCTTTTGAAATACTCAGCTTAGCTTTGACCAACTGTAAACCTTCAAAGATAACAGATAACTTTGATATCGAGTATCTCCGACAAGCCATGCTTTGCCAAAATGAAAAATAAAACCTGTCGCGATATTGTGAAGCACTTTGGTGTTTTAGAAACAATGAGACTGTTGCCCTCCAGAACTATCGAACGACGCTCTGCAACCATATGCCAAGATAGATAAGTTATAAACATGACGAAATCAAGGACGAACCCTTCCGCCACAACCGCTTCCAGGAGGAATATAAACACAAGAAGTGTATATAAACACAAGTTTACCCAGCCATTTGTGCAGAAGCGCAATGGGTCTCACGAAGAGCAGCCTCTGGTACACAATCGTAGCTTCCATTTTTGTTCTTACAGCGGCCGCTCCACACAAGAAAGTGAGTATAGAACTGAATGTTGGTTGTCGCCAAAGGTCATTTTCCACTCATCATCCCTGCACAGGCATACATCGTTTACATGGGTGAGAAATCGCACAAAGACCATAATGTCGTGCACGCACAAGTTCATTCCTTCCTGGCGGATACACTCGGAAGGTAAACAATTAGATGCTTTCTAAACATGCATACCCATACCTTTGGTTGAATTGTTGATACAGCCTTGAGGAAGCGCGGAGGAATATGATACACACCTACAAGCGCAGCTTCACTGGGTTTTCGGCCATGCTCACCGACGACCAAGCTGCACAGATAAAAAGTACGAGTTAATAAGGACAATATGTATATGCTTACCTTTGGTCGCAGGGAGAGAAGAGGTTGTTTCGATTTTCCCAAGCAAGAGTCACAAGCTCCACACAACCCATTCCTGGGACTTTTTGAATACCATCGACTCTTTCCCGGCTCAGAACAGCGATCCCAGTGGTTGTGAGGCTTCTGGCCAAGACATTATTGTTGGCGTCTTTGACTCTGGTACATAACGAGTTTATGAAGATGCACATACCAAACCATCAAGTTTTGCAGGTATCTGGCCGGAGTCCAAGAGCTTCAACGACGTAAGCATGCCACCGATACCAAGAAAATGGAAGGGAGCTTGCCAGGATGGAGAACAGTTCACTGCACGTAATTGCAACAAGTAAGAAGTCAAACTCCGAAACTATTGTTTTCAGACGATCTCACATGGATGCCAAAATGCCAGCAAGTTGATTGGAGCACGCTTTTACACAAACGGATACGATGCCAGCGACCCTGAGCTGCAAAAAACCTTCATCAAATCTGCACGGGATACGGACGGACACGGGACACATACCGCGTCAACTGCAGCGGGAAGGATTGTCAACGGCATAAGCTTCCCGGGAGGCCTTGGAGCTGGAGCTGCTAGGGGAGGAAGTCCAAACTCGAGAGTTGCCGCGTACAAAGTTTGCTGGGACGACTGCAAGGACCCTGACATTCTAGCGGGCTTTGATGATGCCATAGCCGACGGCGTCGACATTATATCTGCGTCCATCGGCCCGGATCCTCCTCAGGCCAACTATTTCGAGGATGCTATATCCATCGGAGCGTTCCATGCCCTGCAGAAAAACATCCTCGTGTCATGCTCTGCCGGAAACAGTGGAGACCCTTTCACGGCTACCAACCTTTCGCCATGGATACTGACGGTTGCAGCGAGCTCCATAGACAGGAGGTTTGAAGCCGATGTGGTCCTTGGAAACGGAAAAATACTTCAGGTAAGCTGTTGACAGTATCTGCAACGAGTTGAGCTTGACTTTGGAAACAGGGACTAGCTGTTAATCCATACGATTCTCAGTTCTTCCCGGTGGTTCTGGGAAAGGATCTTGCTGCCGCAGGAGTGACGCCTGCAAATGCAAGGTAATACAAGTCATCGAGGAAACTCAATGGTACCTAGTTGCTTTGTTGCGCAGTTTTTGCCATGCGGACTCCCTGGACGACGTGAAAACCAAGGGGAAAATAGTCGTTTGCCAGCATGAAATCCCGATCGAGTCGAGGGGAGCCAAGGCCGCCGAAGTGAGTCGAGCTGGTGGTGCTGGAATGATCGACATCAATCCTGAAGTTAAAGACCTGGCACAACCTTTCGTGGTCCCTGCATCACTGACCGACGAGGCCCAAGCGTCCATTCTCCGTGCATATCTAAATTCCACCAGGTGAGCAGCCAAAAGTATCTATCTACAGCCCCGTCTCTAACACCCCCTGGGAAAACCAACCAGCTCTCCCATGGCCAAGTTCCTCAAGACAAACGTCGTCCTCCACGACAAGCCGTCCCCAAAAGTGGCATTCTTCTCTTCGCGAGGTCCCAACACTGTTACTCCGGACATCATCAAGGTGAGTGGCAAAAGTTTCCTTGAGAGCTCGAGCACTCACATCCTGCTCTCCAGCCTGATATAACAGCACCAGGCCTCACAATCCTCGCAGCGTGGCCCCCTATAGCAACCGCAGGAGCCGGCAACCGAAGTGTCGACTACAACTTCCTCTCGGGAACGTCCATGGCATGCCCGCATATCACTGGGGTGGCAGCTTTGCTCAAGGCCAGATTCCCATACTGGACAGCAGCTATGATCAAGTCGGCGATGATGACCACTGGTAAAGAACTTGTTCTTCCTTCTCACGGCTGTCCAAGTTCCTGACCCAAATTCTTCGTTGGTTTCCTTCCAGCCACCCTCTCGGATAACACGAACAGCTTGATCAAGAACACTTTCACCAACACCCCTGCCACTCCTTTCGATTTTGGATCCGGGCATGTCAACCCAGTCGCGGCCCAGGATCCCGGACTCGTGTATGACATAAGCTTGGAGGAGTATACCAGCTTTGCCTGTGGCCTCGGCCCATCCCCAGGAGCACTGAAGAACCTCACGATCACTGCCTGTCCACCCAATCCCATCGCTTCCTACAATCTAAACTATCCTTCCATCGGAGTAGCCGACCTGCGAGGCAGCCTCTCGGTCACCAGATCGCTAACCAACGTCGGGCCAGCGCAATCCCACTACAGGGCCAAGGTCTACTCACCTCCTGGCGTGATCGTGTCGGTGTACCCCTCGGAGCTCCAATTCACGCGGCCGCTCCAGAAGATCTCCTTCACCGTGAGCTTGAGCGTCCAGCAGCGATCCCAGGATTTCGTGTTTGGCGCCCTCGTCTGGAGCGACGGCAAGCATTTTGTGAGAAGCCCGATCGCCGTGAATGCTACAGCGATTGCGAGCTAGCTAGCTTGCTAGTAGAGAGAGGAGAGCGATGTAACAAAAAGGGGATAATCCGACACGAAAGAACGGAAAACCATCGCTGTCGCACAGGCAGCCGTGGAGATTCGACCTAATCGGAGAGAGAAAGAAGAAAATGCGCTGCCGGATCCGACAGCCATGAAGAAAGAGGGCGACGAGAGTGAAGAACCCTAAAATATGCTTTCTATACGGATTCCAAGGCCCTGCGCGCGTGGCCGTCGGATCCTCCAATCCCCACCGCCCAATGACATGACCATTCCAAAACGGAAGGCCCCTCCTCTCTTTTTTATGCCCTCGGTTTTTCTAATGAAAAGCGAAAGGCGGTAGCTCGCTGGGAGAGCGCAGGGGGAGGACTTGTTCGCTCGATGACGATCTCGCCACCGGAGGCGCCGGGAGCTGCCGCTTGATCCAGCGCAGCATCGCCAGCGGCAGGAGCAGCAGCCGCGAGGTCAGATTTCACGCGTCTCCTCCTCTCCTCTCGCCGCTGATCGCCACTCCTCCTCCCTCTCGATCTCTGGTAGCTGGGAAGAGGCGCCATCGCCCCGGCGGATGAGGCGCCCGAGCGGTGTAGGGTTTGTGGCGATTTCTTAGAGACGAGGTTTTGCTCATGGTACTCGGTGGAGGGAGATTATGTGCCGGGGCTCGTCGCACAGGGATTCGTCGCGTCGTGAGCCTCGCGCTGCTACAATGCAATGAGCTGTAATCAGAAGACCTCAACCATCCTGAAAGCGGCAACAGTGTATCTGGGTGGGCAGGGCAAGAAGAGCTTGGGCAGCCGGGCCTCGGCGATCTTCGCTGGGGAGGTCCCCGACGACGACAGGGCCGATTCCTTTCTCGCCGAAAGGTCCTTCCTTCCGGTGGGTCGCGCCGCCGGGCTTTTCCCGTCGGAGCTAGCGGAGATAACTGACAGGAAGCCGCCGGTGGTGAAGAGGAGCGATCCTCCGGCTTTGGAGCAGCAGCAGCATGGGAAAAAGCAGCAGCCGGAGAGCAAGGACGATGTTCCGGTGGAGATTTTAGGACTTCCAGAGGCCGAGGGGGTGAGGACCGATCGGGACGAGCAGGCTAGCGAGTGCTCGAGCTCGTTTGGATTCAGCGACGCCACTTCCGGGGACGAGGCAAACACCAACAACGCCAGTGAAGTAGACTCCGCTGCGAGGGATGGCAATGGAGCGCTGGAGACTGACAGGTACGGAAGCCATAGACACTTCTTATCTCTCTTTGTTTTTTTTTTTTCCTTTTCTTACCACTCTTCCTTGAACGCACTCAAACGAAACGTATGACAAACGTTTTTATATCAGGAGGAGGCCCCTGAATATGGACTGGAAAAACTATAGACGTGGTATTGAGTGGAGATGTCGGTGGCTTGATATTCGTCTTATGGAGTTGCAGAGGCAGGCTACAAAGTATGACGAGGTTCTCTCGGGGATCCAGAAGGCCAAGCCATGGGACGGGAGGACGGAGCCCGACGGTGCAGCGAGAGCAGCGCCTGTGCGGGAAGAGCGGCCCGCGCAGCCGCTCCTCCATCGCCAAAGGCGCAGGAAGGTGGAGGAGACTGTGGATGTGGCCGACTACATGTCAAAGCATCCTTTATTTCAAAGATACGGTAAAGAAGTGAATTTTATTCGATTTTCTCTTACGTCTCATAATGTCGACCTTGCAGAGAAGAAGAAGCGAGAGTATGAGGGGGAACAACACAAGGAGCCAAACGATTGTACGCGTATGATCATGTTGTCGATCTCTTGACCGGTTATGGCTAATTCTCTGCAACCATATGTTTGTAGTGGCGGCAGAAGGCGCAATGGTGAGGCTAGATCCGCCGCCTGCCGATGAAGCAAACGAAGACTCGGTAGAAAACATCATGCTCAAGGTGGAGACGTTGCAAGCACGGGTGGTCCGGCTGAGAAACCAGCTCCGGGGCTCGATGTCGCACAAACTGCCTGGCCAGGTAGCCAGAGCAGGCGGAGGTGGCGGCGGCGCAGCGCGAGCTCCAGCGGCCAAGGCGGCTGCCGTCAGCCGTCTGACGAAGGCTGCTCCGAGCGGCCATCCTGTATCGCCAGCCGCGGTGAAAGGCGGGCAGGCTGCCCGAAGGCGGGCCTCGGACTACGATATCAACAACGTGGTGATGCCTGTCAGCGTGGGTGCCAAGTACGTGCAACATGTGAGACATGCCAACATCGAGACACCTCAGTGGCGGCTGGCCGAGAAGTCCGAAATGTGTGAAGAAGATAACTCGGATGACGAGGTTGGTTGGTTTGCTCTCTTTTTCTTTTTCTGTTTTCCTAGTTTCTTTTCCTTTTACTCGGACGAGATCTCACACGGATGAATGTATTTCAGGATACCGATGATGAAACTTACAAGAGCCGTCACGCGCCTTTGGAAGCGCAGGAGAGGCTTCATCGCTACGGGCCACGGACTAACAAAAGGCCCCCGGAAGGGGAGAAGTTGAGCGCCAGAGGTAGCGGGTAAGGTTTTCTCTTTTCTTGTTTCTCGGCTTGCTCAGTCCAGAAGCTGATGAAGTCTCTTCCTTTGCAGCTCGCACCAGATGCCTCAGTGTAGCTTGTCAGCACAATTTAGCGAAGGGTGAATGAAAATCGAGCAAGCAAGCAAGCGATTGTACATTGCAAGCAGCAGCAGCAGCAGCAGCAGCAGCAGCACTAGAGAGAGTGGGAACGGATTGATTCCCTCCTGGTTGATGCTCGTCAGCAGCAAGCAGGTTAACCAGACAAAACTAATCTCCTCGATTCCAATTCAAGGCCTGCATTTTGTGTAGATGGTGCAGGAGGAAGGCAAAAGACAAAATTTATTCAAAATCAGAGAGACCAGAAGGAAAGCAGCTGATAAAAAACAGGTGTGACTCTTGGATGCGGCTCATAGGAGTTGTGTTTTGGTATAAATAAAATATGAGAGAGAAAAAAATCTCTTTTTTTGACCATTATGATCAATTTATATGAAAAGTTTCTCAATATCTTTGATAAACTAATGAAGGCATGGCGCGCGGCTATCTGGCTGATCCGGAGGGTCATGGTACCTGTGTCCGTCAAGATCGCCAGCCCTCGCAACTGGATTTGGCCAGTGGCTGCTGCTCGGCATTTCCCGCTCTACGCTGCTGCTAGTGGGCCTCTACTTCGTAGTCGCCAAGAACGATTTTCTCGATGCCGTCGTGCCCAACCCGCTCACCGGCTACTTCATCTTCGTTGAATGATAGACTTGCAAGTGTTATTCCAGATACGTCCTCCTCATAAATGAACATCAGGCAATTTACGATCCATGGATAGTTTAATGCTTCAACGCCTGCCTCAGCTGCATAGTACGGTCCCGGGATAGTGGCGGTCTGGAGGTGGAGGCTCTGGGACAGGATGGAGATTTCCGGTGGAGTGCGAACTACTGAGGGACGCTGTCCCGGTCTACGATTCGAGGGTGGAATGCCGACGCTGAGCTTGTTCTTGAGCCGGGTAAGATCGAGAGTAGAGTTCTATCAGACCGAAGCTTGTTTGTTTTTTCCACACGAGTGTTGCGTGCCGGGCAGTGCAGCGTTACATCTGCTCTCTCACTCTTCCAGGAAAGCCGGACGTCATGGCCAGGCTGAGGTCCTTTCGTGTGGATAGTGATCTCTGCGGGAAATGCGAGAGCACGATCGTCACAACCTGGGAGGATCTGTCTAAGAGGAGCTTAAATCCGGCTCTTGCTGGCAGGAACTTCTTGTTTCATGCTTTTGTTCCACGCAGGAGAGCGATGCATATTGGCAAGCATCGGAGGTATGCCGAGGTATGCAGAGGCAGTGCGTACAAGTTCTTACATGCCTTAGACGTGGAGAGGATAGAATTCAACAGGACAGAAATAAAAGGAGGATTTTTTCAAGCCCTAGAGTGCTTGGATTTGCAAATCTAACTTTTACATTGTTTAAATTTAGTTTTTTCCATTTCCTTTCTTTTGTTCTTTTCTTTTTGGATTTTGTTTTAGATTTAGCTTTTTCATTGTCTAAATCTTCCTTTCCTTCTAAGTTTTTTTTATTTATCTTCTTTTGCTCTTTTTCTTTCATTCATCTTTATAGTAAAGTAATAATTTTCTTCTCTGACTCTAGAGTAACAGTTGGTGCAATTGCTTAATGTTATGTGATTGCAATTGAACAATTAAACTTAGTTGATGATGGTTTTCACAGCATGTAATATAACTCTTACTCTTGGTGCCAATCCTTGTGTTTGGCCGGAATTCTTTCAAGGGAATCCTGGGGATGATGTATATCATTAATTCAATCACTTCACAGTGATTGCCACATATCATTTTTGGGATGATGTTTGACATTTGAGTAAATTTCCCATGTGTCTCCAAGGGATGGCACTGCAATAGTACAATAGTTTGAGCGTAACAACTCGTGGGGATTGGAGTATTCTCCCAGACGTCTTCAAAATGCATTTAGACATGTTGACGATTGTGATGATGCCTTTTAACAATTGCATTGTCTTCGTCAAAGGCCATTTAAGTCGGTAATACAATTTTACATTCGTTTTTGAAACCTCTTGCTTCGTGCAAAGCCAAATATTTCGGAGCAGATTAAGCTGGGAATGTTGTAGCCAACACTTTGTCAAAATTTTGTAAGACTTGTGCATGCATTTGCTCCAACCACCATTGACAATGCCCTTCACTTAACACAATGTTATGAAATGTCACTTTTTCCACTTCTCATTGCACATCCTTTATCTCTACTTCATATGGGAAATGGTCTTGTTCCAATAAAGGTTGATGCTGTTACTGCTCAAGTCCAAAGACAAAGGCGAGGACGTAGTCGTGGCTATGATGTTTGCTGCTAGGCATGTGATGAAGTTGGTCACACTTATTGGTATTGTTGGCATTTTCTAAATTGGCAACTTCCATTTCCTAGGTGGAGACCTTGGCATCAACAACGTCCTATTGATGCTACTGCAATGGAAAGTCTCATCAACAACGTCCTATTGGTGCTACTGCAGTGGAAAGTCTTGACATCATTTCATCATCTTCTCATTTCCTTGCTGGGAAATGAGGAGTTGCACGAGTAATAGAGGGACCTTGCGGGAATAAGTCAACGTACTACAATGGAAAGTCTCATCAACAACGTCCTATTGGTGCTACTGCAGTGGAAAGTCTCGACATCATTTCATCATCTTCTCATTTCCCACTGCAGTGGAAAGTCTCGACATCATTTCATCATCTTCTCATTTCCTTGCTGGGAAATGAGGAGTTGCACGAGTAATTGCTGGGAAATGAGGAGTTGCACGAGTAATAGAGGGACCTTGCGGGAATAAGTCAACGATGTAAGCTCCTGAGTTTGGATGAGTAATAGAAGGACCTTGCGGGAATAAGTCAACGATGTAAGCTCCTGAGTTTGGACTTCCCGGGAGGTCACCCAGCCCAGTACTATTCAAACCCAAGGACGCTTAACCCCAAATATCCCAAGACCTTTAACCGATTAGAAAAGGGGGTGCACTCTTATTCATGGGCCCTTTCCCTCTATATTTGAACCCCATGGACCGTCTCTCGAGTTGTTCTCTTTGGTTGTTTACAAATGACCCAAGAGTATTATTAAGGGGTTCACTTGGCACTAGTTCATCTAGTGTTTACTTTCCAAGCTCATTTGTATAACAAGAGGTCTCCTATTATTCTTTCCATGTTGGTTGATATATCGAGTTTATCTTCTATTGCTCGATCTGTCACCACATATTGCCGTTTATATTTGCATCGTGCGGTAGAGCTAGTTTTCATTCTTTATGGCAACAACCGTACACATGCAGGTGCACGGGATGGGTTGCAATCATTGTAGGTGGTGCTAAATCAAACTTTTGGCCTCATCCTTGGTATGGATTGGTTGCAGCACAATCATGCTAAATGTGATTTTGAGGCTTCTCTCCCTTGTCTCATACTTCCTTATATTTCATTCATTCCTCTCACTTTCATACCTTTTCGTCCCTTCGTTTTTAACTCTGCTTCCATTGCTTTTGTCTCCTCATTATTTCCTATGTTTCCATCTTGCTCTGCTCTTCCCTTTTTTTGATCCCTTCGATGCTCTTTGTATTGCAGCGGTTGACCGGCTCACAAAAGAGTATGCTGATCTTTTTGAATTTGATCTATCGTCTGGGGTTAAGATTGCCATATGTCATTTAATTTCAATCAGGGATGCTTGTCTAATCAAGGTTCCTATTTGTCATTGGTCACCCAAAGAGATCAAACTTTTATGTGTAAACATTAAAGAGATGTTGGAAAAAGGTGTTATTCGAAAGTCGCAGAGTTCTTGGGTATGTGAACCTCATGTTGTAATAAATCTTAATGGGAATATTCATTTTTGCATTGATTATTGTCCGTTAAATGAAGTGATAATCTTTAATATATATACCTTCTTCCTCACATTACTGATCTCTTGAATTGTCTAAAGAGAAGTTGTTTGTTCATGAAGCTAAATCTTGCTTCTAGGTATTGGCAAATATCAATAACCAAAGAAGATATTCCTAAGATTACTTTTCATACACCATTTAATTTGTGCAAGTTCTTTGGTTTGAATAATGCTCTAGGAATTTTTTAATAAATGATGGATGAGGTTCTTTATGATATGCCAAAAGTGATTGTTAACTTCATTGATGATATCTTAATGTACTCAGAGGGGACGTGGGAGGAACACGTCTGTGATGTTTGTAAAGTTTTGGATTGACTACGGGATGTTAATTTAAAGTTGAAACGGTCAAAGTGCGTGTTTGGTCCAAGAACATAATTTATCTTAGATACCATATTTCTCATGAGGGTTTGCAAATTAATCTTAACAGACTTATGGTTGTTTTAAATTTCTCTATTCCGAAGTGTATGAATGATGTGCAGCACTTTTTGGGCAAAATGCAATATCTCTATCTTTTTGTGGACCATCTTTCTGATCACAGTACACCATTGCGAGCATTGCTAAAGTCATTAATGTCATCTTTTATTTGGTCTGCAGACTGTGAGCGGGTGTTCATGGATCTTAAAGAGATATTAATGACCCCTCCAATTTTAGCATATCCTAACTATACTCAACATTTCATTTTGCACATAGATGCTTTTAATATTAATTTTGGAGGTATGTTGATGCAAAAGAACTCTAGTGTGTTTAGTCAGTGCCATCCTATTGTACACATTAGCCGTACATTACAACTAATAAAGATGAACTACTCCACAACAGAGAATGAGTGTTTATTAGCAATCTAGGGTTTTGAGAAACTTCATGCATATCTACATGGTTCTCATATATTACTAAAAAGTGATCATGCTGCTGTTACTTCATTATTGAAGCAGAAGAACTTGGTTGGTCATATTGCTTAGTGGGTTTTGAAGTTTTAGATATATAATTTTGATGTTGTTTATCGTTCAAAGAGTTTTATGGCTCATGCTAATGCCCTTTCTCAAGCTCCTCTTCCTTCTTCACTCTTTTCTCATGTTTGGGACAAATCTGTTGTTCTAGCATCTGTGAATTTTCTAGATGAGGATTTTGTGCCATTGGTGGTTGCTGTATTTGACATTTAATGTCCACAAGGTGCAGAGCATGATCTACCTTCTTTTGATAAAGTTCGCGAGGCTCAAAATATTGAGCCAAGCTTCAAGAAGGGTTTAAGAATTTTGTATCACTTACTGATGACTTATCATTCTAGCATTTACATTCTCAATATCACCTTGAAAACGGCCTTCTTTATTTTGTTGGGACGGATCCTGATGATCATTTATAGCTATGGTGCCTTTAGTCTTTATTCCACGGTTTCTCCATACCTACTATGATTCTCCTATTCTAGGCGAGCATATGGGATATTGTTGTGTGACCGAGAAGCTGCACAAGTCTTTCTATTGGCCGGAGATGTAATGTGATGTTATTTAGTATGTGTATAATTGCATTTGGTGCCAAGCTCATAATACTCCCCCTCATATTGCGGAAAGACGGTTGGAGTCAATTGCAGTTTCCTATCCATTTGTGTTGGTAGTGTTTGATCTTATGGGATCTTTTCCATGATAAATTGTTGGCAATGATTATATTATTATTGTTTCTGACTACTTGACTTGTTGGGTGGAAGTTGATGCTCTTGCTAGCACCTCTACAATTGTTGTTGGATACTTCCTCCTCAATCGAGTGGTGTTCTAGCATTTTTAACTAGAGTGGATTCTTTTGGATAATGATTCTATATTTATGGTTGAGGCATTTCATGTTTTAACATCTTGGTTGGGATACATGACACTTTTATGAGTGCTTATCATCCATAGTTAGACAGTTTAATGGAACACT